GTAACTTGAACTAATGTATTCTACATTCGTGATGCGAGCAGGAAAATGCCAGTGAATGTTTATTGATGACTCACCAAAGTGGTGCAAAACCTGTTCATGTCTGCTTGCATATCATTAATGTGACTCACAGCAGGTGTCAGTGCGGTGACTCCCAGTCGGCAGAGCACGTCTCCCTTGTTGCTGATCGCCCACAAAGGAACCACGTCCACGCTGCTCTGAGCGGCACACGGCAGGATGGTCACGTCACTCAGTGGGATGGGGTGGATTTCTTGCCAGGGTCCTGTAGTGGTCAGTTTACATTTCCTGTGCAGGAGGAAAAAAATAAATACAATTGCTCACATGTGCCCTGAACTGTAACATCTGCAGCTGAAGAAGCTGCTGGAGTGGGAGGTGTGGCAAATGACGCAAATCAAACATCAATCATTGTAAATATGTTTTCTCTTACTGTGTCCAACACCTCCACATATATGTCACATCAAATATTCAAATACTATTTAAAGATCTATAGTAAAAACCTTGTGATTAGGACGTCACATTAACAATATGTTTTCCTAATTGTGTAATAATTAACCATAAAGTATATTTTCCAACTGACCCTATTGTCTCTATTGACTCTCTCTCACACACACACACACACACACACACACACACACACACACCATTGTTGAACAAACGTATTGGAGACTAATATGCCAGTGTTGCTTTTTATAGTACCTGGCCCATCGCCTGCGACGGACAAAGTCCTTCATCGTTTTATAGCCGTGATATGACCTGTGCGGTGAGATGGGGAAGAGGAAGGAACAAAAACAGAAATAAGTGAAGGTCATGACTATGAGGGCAGCATAATTTGAACCAACAGACACAGCAGGTGTGTTTGAGGAATTGCAAATGAAACGTACGCCGGAAAATCAGCTGCATATTGCCAACCTTCTCTGTCTGTCCCCCCAGAGACACTGTAGTCGATGGCCCAGTCAGACACCTGAAAACGGCACATATGGAAGTGAAACAGGGTGAAAACATCTGATTTTAACTACACACCTTTTCCCATGATAATTCAAGACCCAATATTTATAGTATACAAAATAAAGTTAACCTGAGAACAGAACTGGTTTCAAATCACGACAGGGTGTTTCCATGAGAGTGTGTGTGTGTGTGTGTGTGTGTGTGTGTGTGTGTAGCTGTTCTTACCCATGTCCACTGAGGTGAGGGAGGTTTGGTATTTGTTTTTGTGCACTCATGGAGTCCTGATGCATCACTCCACATGTAGCGGTCTGTGGGTAGACCTCTGAAGAAAAGCAAACACACCTGACTTAATCAACTGATCAAAAACAACATGTGCGTTCAATATGTTGATTTGTTGGTAAAGGTTTAGATGTTATGGGGAATAATGAAATGTAAAATGTCTCCCAGTGAATAGCTGTAACAGGTAGTTTTACACTAAACCTATTTGTCAGATTTTCTTTAAGTGTGAACAATAAAAGCTGAAACACCTGAACAGTGTAAATGTCAGTCGGCCATATTAGCCTGGAAATTTCTGTGTTTGAGAAAAATACAATTACGCTACAAAACAAATCACTGGAAATATTTCAGCAACATTTTCTTCTGACAAAAATAGCAGGTGGGAAAGAAGAAACTCCCCTCTTCTTCTCAGCGGTATCTGGAGCGTGTGCTCTACCTGTTGGTGTAGCCTGTGACGGGGTTCCACCTCTGGTTCTCATAGATGTAGACGCTCTTGACATCAGTCTGTGTGTAGATGTTATCTGTGCTGCTGGCCAGTCCCTGGAAGAAGCCCCCTCCGTAGCCCCCGGTGTAGACCCAAGCGGTGTGGTCAAAGCCAACCCCCCACGCTATCCCAACGCTGTTACACTCCACCACACGCATGTGACCTCCAACCTGCCGCCAGAACCTGCACAAAATAAAAGTGGTTAAGCTAGAGACGGGAAACTCATTTCCTTTTTTATCAGGAGGTCTTATTTTCTTTCTCCTGCACCCGAGCGGTGTCTGGCTAATTCTTACATTTGGTCGCAGGGTGTCGGGTAAGGCATGGCCTCCAGACTAGGAGAGGGCTCACTGACAAAGACGTCTCCTTTACAGGTGATGGACCAGATGGCCTGTTTGGAGGGAGGACCCTGGATCCCTCTGGAGTCGCAGCATGACACACTCAGCAATGCCAGCTGGGAGAGAGACAAATGTAGAAGTGATAAGAAGAGACGGAAAGAAGGCGAGAAAAGGGAAATGGTAGAAATGAGTGTGCGAATCACACTTCAGCAGACAGAACAGCCCAAAAATAATAGTGCCTTTCTTTTCTCTCTAATTGATGGCAGTTATATTGATCAATAAGAGTGGAAATCTCCACCTATGATTGCTATGTATTTATAAAATGAGTGTTATTTCAGTTTCAGATGAAATCATTTGGTTCTAAAACCTGAATCCAACATACAAGAGCAATCGCACTGTGTAGTGGCTTCACATACCCAGTCGTGCATTTCCAGCTCAGTGGCTGCTGCCAATCTGATCGGCCACCTCTGTTTGGTCCGCTCAGGGGTGTAGATGGCAAAAGTGTGTTTGGAGTCATTTAGCACAGGAACTAGGATGGTGACCTCATTGATGAAGGCATGCAGGTACTGGGGAGAGTGACAGCAGCGATGGAGGAAAAGAAAAAAAGTAGAGATACAGTTAAAAATAGTAAATAGAGGAAGAAAGAAGACAAAGAAAACGGTGGTGACTGCAAGAGAGCAACAGCAGTACCGATCCATTTGAATGAGTGACTCTATTTTCAGACGGTATCTGTTGTGTTAACATGCGCAGACATTTCGAGACTGACGATAACACTCCTCCACCTCCCTCATGAAGGCATGAGTCCCCCACATGAACTGTATCGACACACACACACACACACACACACACACACACACACACACACACTTCTTCCTCACCTTCTTCTCCTCGTAGAAGTTGTAATAGATGAAAAGGATGCCGTCCTTGTTGCCCTCTGGCCCTGAGAACTGCTCTAAGGCAAAATGAACGTCTATCCACTTGTGCGGCTTCCAGTCTCTCCACCACTGCATGGTTCCCTTCTTCACCCACACAGACTGTGATGAAGGTCGGAGGTCGCGAATGAGACGAGGAGGAAAGAAGAAAACACAACCACATAAAGACGATATGACACGGGACTGTGAGGGGGAAAGGGGATCAAGTTCAGAAGTTGCTGCAGGGCAGGGTAGGTCATAACCACACGTACCTGTTCTATGGCTTGTTCATAATGTCGGAAATTATCCATCTCTCTCTTGGTCCTCTCACTGAGTTGTTCAAAGATTTGTCTCCGCCAGGCTGCCGTCTGGGCTGGGGTTACAGACAGACTCATGGACTGGACTGACTGGATCAGAGCTGGAGGAAGAAAGGTAGATAAAAAAGAAAAAAATCAATTGGGGGTTTCCTGCAGGCATGAGATGGAAATATAAGCATGGTATCGTTCTGCGTTCTGAGGCTCTATCCCCATCAATTCAATGAGATGCTCAGTTATGTCACTGAACTCACATGACGTGTTCATTGAGCAGTTGAACCAGTTGAGCTGGGAGTGACTGTCCACGGAGCAGCCTCCTCCACTGACCCACGCCCACAGCGGATGCTCATCTGCCCCATACGGGTCCTCTACGGCAAGAGTGTACGTCGCAACCGATGACAAGCTGCAAGTATCGGCTGATTCCAGCACTGCTCCGGTCTGGGCCTGCTGGACCTGTACCTCCTCCAGGTCCACGTTACTCCACTGGGGGTCAAGAGGACCTCCAGACTGGCTGGGGGTGAGAGCGACATCAGTACAGGGAGCTTTGACCTCTCCTTCTCCAGATACGGTCTCCTCCTCCAGAACAGCGGGAGCTGCGGATCCGACATCTCTTAAGGTCTTTGCAGGTTCTCGATCAGACACGAGTTCGGAGATGAAGCTGTCGCTGGTGACTTTGGGGATGCGGGGTTTGGGGACGTCGGAGGGCTGGTCAGACGTGTGATCTGTGGGGGCATCAACAAAGGACTCGGGGGACTCAGAGGTGGCAAAGCAGGCGGCTGCATCTGCAGATCCTTTCTCCGTGTCTGATTCCACATCACTCACTACTGACTGACCACGCACCTCACCACAGAAGTAACATCCAGCACTATGAAAGAGGAAGAGAAACTGAATGAATTTATGATGATGGCATGCGCTGAAGATTAAAGCAGTTTCCTGCATCTTTCAGTGAAATTTGGAGATTCATTATATCGGTTCAAGCATATTTTCCGAGAGTTTGCGCATTAATTTTAATCAAGTCATGGTATTATACCCAAAGATTATTTTGTGTGTGTGTGTGTGTTCACCTCTGCAGGCTGGTTGCGCTGGCACTGGAGTGGGATCGATCTCCATCTCGGGGAATATTGATAACCTTCCAAGTTTTCCCACTGAGCTCACTGGAGGTCACACCTTGTCTGAAGTACACCGCGCGGTCCTCACAGCCGATACCCCACACCTACACACAACAGCAACAGGTTGTGACTCCATGCCATGAAAGCCGCGCGGCAATGCTAAGGTAACCAGAAGAGAGAAGGTACTGGATATGTTAAATCACCTGATCATTGAGTCCGACGTTGATCATGATCATTTCTCCAACCATGCTGATCCAGCCAGAGCCACAGGGATTGTGGGAGTTTACACCACGTCTGAACCACACCTGGAGAAACAAGAGTGTGGGAAGAAAATAGCTCTTTATCGTAACACACACCTGCTCCAACACTATTGTTACCAATTTAGCTGTAGTGTCTTTACTAATGCAGTTTTCTTGTTTAGGAAATTGTCTCAGTCAAATTAAATCAACAATCAACTCGACAAAAACATTTTAAGCTACACCCATCAGTATTTTTGTTGACCGTGGGGCTGTAGTATTCTACCAGGAGGTGGTTTTATTTTGTCCAGTCTCTTTAATTTATTTGTTACTGTACACATGTACAATTTTTACACATATGCTTCTAAATTACTAGCTTCATTGTACATTACATGATGACTGAGCGACGGGCAGTGTGCAGCTTGTCGGCTGATAGCAGTCTGTATATGTGTTGTTGGTATTGTGTGTGTGTGTGTGTGTGTGTGTGTGTGCACGTGCATGAGTGACGTATTCATGCACTGTGAGGTTTGTATTTTAACAGCAGATACTGCATGTGTCCAAGACAAATTTGCTTCGGGACAGTTAAAGTTTATCTTTATCCTTATCTCTATGATGGTTTGATGATGACCAAAACTGAACATCATAACCTTCATAAAGGGAGGATTTATTGCAGGGCTGTTATATTAGACTGCATTTATTGCAGCTAGGTGTTCCTAATAAACTGAAACGTGAGTCGATACATACACAGCCAAACAAAAGCAACTTCAAAGCACTTAGTTTGGAGTTAGCTGGTGAAGATTTCAGTTTTTCGATCCTATAACGTGTCTTTTATAATGTTCACCACAGAATTTTCTTACTTTGTTGTCTTTGGTCACGGCCCAAACAACATTGACTCCCACGGCCACATGTATGGCTCCCACATCAGGGCTGGGAGAGTCCACCACCGCCCACGAGGCACCTGACATGCAGAAAATAACATTCTCCATAAAGAGGATACACACACACACACACACACACACACTCCTCCCACCAGTGAGCTTGTGTACCTTTGGGGCAATCTCGGCCAATGCCCTCCCTGACAATGAACTGCCCCTCCCACAGCACCGCCCAGACCAGGTCCCCTGGGCCACAGCTGATCTGGACGACCTCCCCAGGGAGCGGCACCTCCTCCCACAAAGAGCCCTCAGGATTGTGGTGATAGATACCCTCTCTGAACCACACCTAGATGAAGACAAAAGGAGGGGTTAGATAATCAAGACTGAGAGCCAAACAGTTAAGTGATGGAAAAAAATTATTTGCATCAAGTGATTCAAATACACTGATGTGACAAGACTGTGAGCGTGTGATCTTGCTATGGGCAATAACAAGGTCAATAAACAATACAACAGACACACAAACACATCCTTAGTATGTGTGAATACAACACAAACTCTTAACATCTGTTAGATCAGACAGATGCATTACATTAGACACAGTTATTAAACATTGTATTTTATAAAGCCTGACGTGTTTTATGAGCTGCATGTCAGCAAAGGTTTACTTTTAACTGCAAGATGTGCTTAGGTAGCTTTTCTGCCTCTATCAACAACACTGCATCACTGTGTTTATGTAACTGATTTATTATTATTGCTCTTTTACAAAGGCAATAACAGTAAAGGCATCACCGTGCACTACTGCTTTCCCAAACTTTAACTAACTTTATTTACAAGCTAATCAAGACTTGAAGTACGTTGATACTTAAGACTTAGGTTGGAGTTACTTGTGTGTGTGTGTGTGTGTGTGTGTGTGTGTGTGTGTGTGTGTGTGTGTGTGTGTATGTGTGTGTGTGCTGTACCTTGCCCTGTAGGGACACGGCCCACAGTGAGAGCCGGCCCCTGGGCTCCTCATTGATCTCCCAGCCTCCACAGCTGATGTCGCTGAAAGGATCTGGTAGAGTCGTCCGCTGTGAAGGGATCTGTCAGCACAAACAGGAAGAGAGACACACGCATGTGAACAAACTGACAGGCTTCACACAACACACACACACACACACACACACAGCAACACTTACCTTAGCCCAGGTGTCCATGGCTTTGTATCTCCTGTAGCGGAGCCATCGCCTCCGACGGACACAGGAGTTCCACTTCTTGTCTTTGGTGTAGGTGGCCGGGAAGTCGATGGCGTAGGTCCATCCCTACAGACACAAACACCTCAATCATTAAAACGAAGCAGGAATAAAATAGGACAAGATGCTGATGTTGGAGTAAGGAGACGCAAACCAAAAAAAACAAACAAACAAAAAGTCATCAGCTACTCACCCCTTTCTCTGTGGGCTCTCCCTCAAAGTTTTCATCTGCATACCAGTCTCCCTCCCACTCCCAGCTGTTAGAGGGAAGTTGAAAACTGTCCAAGGGTTGGTGTTGCAGCCCCGTGACATCACTCCACTGCCAGCGGTCGCTCGGCAACAAACGCTCCGAGAAACCATCAACAGGATTCCAGCGCTGATAGACAGACAGACGGACACAGACAAGAGGGTTAAAAACAATATGAAAATGAATCCAACCCAGTTTCACTCTTTCAAAAACAATGTATTGCCAAACACCACTTTTGTTGAGATGTAAGAGGAAGTCACAAGAACAGCACGGCCACTATAGAGCACTGACCTAATGCACATGACCTGACACAACCGGAGTTTCCTATGAATGTAAATGCCCCCCCCCTCATTCGAGTTACACATATAGCACAGTGACAGTGTGCCGTCACTGGGTCTGTTTTTCTCATTACAGCCTCTGATGTGCTTCTGAAGGCACACAGCTGACAGCGTGCTGGAGTTAGCAATAGAGGAAGTGGAACACAGCTGTTTGAGGATGTTGCTCTTACTTTTTCAGTCACTCAGTCACACAGTCACTCAGTCACACATGACACTAGTCCTAGGGGAACTCCACATTTTCAATTTCACTTTGGAGACTTTGTGCAGAAAATAAAGGATAGCCACAGAAAAATTTAGGTGTTTTTAACTTACATAGTGAGAGAAAAAATACCATAGCTTCCTTTCTTTGTGCATTTCTAACCTTGATTCCAGTAAGTATCTTTGCAAACTCTGTGTAAACAATGACACTTGAAGATACCCACTTGATTCTCGTAGGTCTCCTCCTGGTAGCGGACGGGCAAGTCAGAAGCGTGGACGTTCAAGTAGATTTTATTGTCGCACGCGATGCCCCAGCAGCACTGCTGAGCCGCTGTCGCCCGCTTGAACTCCATCTGGGCATCGCGGCAATGCTCCCACTGCTGTCCCGCAGTGGACAAGCTGTAGACCCGCCCATACACATCCACTGCCCATAGCAGGGAGATGGGCATGGCTGCACCTGGGACCTGGGGAGGAAGAGAAAGAGAGTGGGTGAATGTAGCTAAACTGACAAATCGACCACAATGTATGATAAAATCAGGTATATGGTCTGTATCTGCTAGTTCCAGTGCAACACTGAAGCTACCAGCACAACATTATTCATGGCTGCTTCATCACGGTGTGTCAAATGAAATTATCCAAGAATCATTTTACGCTTGTTTTTGCAAAACCATTATCTTTGAAAACTTTGTGATCCTGCTGTGAATTTCAAACAAAGTCGTGAAGGTTATATGAATGCAGTTTACACAACAGTTACTCATAATAAAAATGTCCAAGTGGTGAGTCTGCAGGGTTGGAGAGGTTAGGTTGAAAGGAGAGAGGCTGACAAGCAGCACAAAATAAATTTATAAGGTCAGAGAAATAAATTGGAGACTGAAACACAGTGATGGAGAAAATTAAGTAGAAGAATCTGATTCGATTCTGTCATAAAACAACATGAACATACTACATTGGTCTAAATATTCCCTGAAGAATATACACCTTTTTCACAGCTGTTATTAATAACATTAACAATGGTTGTGTTGTAATCAAATGTCCTAAAGAGCCGTGACAGTGTGACAGTGGGTGAGCACGCACAATGCCACGACCCTGAAACTGAAGCAGGTTAATATAATTCAGCAGCTTTCATGGCTCCAAATACAACGCACAAATTGTGTGGTGTACTGTGTTCTTGATGGGTACCATTCTCCAGTCTGGATAATAACATAATAAAATTATGGCTAATTCTATTTGATTAACCTCCATCAATCACCACCAACAAGCACAGACATGGCACAACACTGTATCGCCAAACATCTCTGTCATATCTTTTCTGTTGAACAGGTGACTCCGTTACTGTCACAGTCACAACTGTCACCTGGTTGCCAATGCCAGGTAGGAACTAAAATCACTCTGAGGCAAAGGGACAAGAGGAATTAACATAAAAGGTGCATACAAATTACAGTGGTAGTTTAAGTGCTGTGACAATTACTTGCATAATAATTATAAACCGTAATTCTGAAAGTCCAAAACAGCAGCCAGTTGAAGGATTGATTTCTCATAGTATGTTGTACAGCTGAGTTAAACAACAGGAGTGGCTAAGGTAAAGTTAAGTAATTAACCAGAGTAAGGAAAACAATAAAAAGGGCAGAGCTGCACATAAGATCCTGAGCACTGTGTAGCTACACTGTAATCAGGATCATGTGTTGAGGTGGCACTGATCCCTGCTGCGCTGTGTTTACACCACTTTTGCTCCACTTTTTCAGGTCTGACCCAAAGCCTTGAAAATCCCATAAAGTCACTGACCCCTACTCTACATCCGGGACAGCGCCTTCACAACCCCTTAGGCCCAAACGTGTAAAATACAGTAAACAATGCTAAAATACAGTAAACAATGCTAGGCTTGCTAAAAGCTTGTTTTAGGTGGTCTCCATTTCACAACATTGCGTAACCAGCGAGGATGCCGCTGGTAAAAGGCGTATCCTCCGTCACAGCGTACTGCACGTTCAGCACATACAGATAATAACAGTAATAATAATAAAAAACACAGGCCTGCATATACCTTTAAAGTGCGGATAATGATGACACTACTGTGTTATTAAAAAAAATCATGCGTTATGAAGCTTTGTAAGAAGGTAGCTGCACATTAACTCCATGCTAACGGCACGAGCTACAAATGAGCCTTAATTGATAATACACTGCAGGTGTGAACTGCAGGAGAGAGAGTAATGCTCCAAAACAAACGCACACGGTACAGTAAAACCAGCTTTAGTCTCCAACACACAACACTCGGCTTGCTTTTGGTGCAGGCTTACAGGCTTAGTCCTCTAGAAATAGCAAATTAACGAGAGTTCAAAGACACCAACCTCGAGCTTCCTCTCACAAACCGTGTACCGGCGCACGCGGGACCTCGCCGCCGTTCATTCAGCAGGGGGAGAAACGAACGGGCAGCTGGTTAAATCATGATGTACCCTGTGATATTCACATCACAATTTCTCTCCACTGTGAAACAGGAAGTGCTCCTATTGGCTGTTTCCGCGGCAGCAGGTGTTTGTAGCCGTGGCTTCCGGCAGGTGGCGCTGCTGCCTCGCACGTCAGAGCAGATGCTGAACAAGCAGGACGCAACAGACGTGAAGCTGCAGGGCTCATCACCCTGAGTCACAACCTCTTTATGTCAAGACAAGAGTACACTCATGTTCTATAAGGGTTTGTTCCTGAGCAGGCCGATGACAGAAAACACACACACACACACACACACACACATGCAGACTCTATTTTATGCTCAAAAAAGAAACATGTTTTTCAATGACAAACCAGCATCCCCCACTTTATAATCAGGGGGTCAGGGGTCATAAAGTCAGATTATTTAGCTTATTACTCAGTTTGTACTTTGTAAACATTTCATCATATCTATTCTGAGTCTTTCCTTCTCCTCTCCCCTCGTACCTGTCACACTGCTCTGCATGTTTAGAGGAGCAATGCTGCACATGTTGTTTTCCTGGGGGACAACAGCTGATGATCGCATTAAACTGCAAAAACATGCAAAAAAAAGAAAAGAAATTGTACTGGCTTCCTCTCTCAGTGTCCGTGCTTCACGAGAACCTTTGAGTGAGACATGAATGTTACATGTGGAATAAAAAGACATGCTTTTGCAGCTTTGCTAGAAAATGAAAATACCACTCTGAAATAAAAGACTGGAAAAAAAATAGTAAAAATAACTGAAAAAATTCTAAACATCTGTATCAGTCTTAGTCTCATTTTAATCTATTTGTTTTATTACAAGAGAGCAAGTTTTTAATCCTTTATATGTATTCAGCCGAGTGAAACACAGAACGTGTTACCAGTGAGAGGAAAACAGAAGATGCACTTGAACATGAATTACACAGACTTTGAGTTTATCATGTTTTATTGAGAAAAAAAAAGACTACATTGGTCAACACAGTGGCAAGGTACTGTGAAGAAAGCATGTGGCATTATCTATGTCAGTATGATGGGTTCACCTACGAACATCAGTGGGTCTGTGCGGATCAATAAACAGTTTCATCAATCAGCTCCTCATCATACACTTACATCCTGTAAAGCAAATACATGGCAAAAAAAAAGTTATTTTCTTCACGAAATAGTTAATACTTTGTTGATTTCAAACAATGACCCACCATATACACGTACAATGCAAATGTCTACCAGTAAAGTACATCTTTATTTTGCATAAACTGTGCATTGTTCACAGAATCTACATTAACAGTGGAACCATGAGTAAGGAAAAACATTCCCTTCATCAAAAGGTCATTTTACCCATATAAAATACATACCAGCAGTCAAATGAAAATCAGCGTTGGATCCACGGCTCAAAACGAGCACAGTGACCATCATGTTTAAAGGGGCACCTTCACAGAATGGACTTCTGTATATATATTTTATTTAAATATCTCTTACAAACTTACTGTATATAAATAGCCTTCTCGTTTTAAACTGTGACGTACTGTTTTGCCCTTCGCTCAAATGACCGACTCTTTTCCCAACACGTCACTTTCCCTTCATTCTCACAACCTCTGTATATCACAATGCCTCTTTTAAAAAGAAAGACAAAAATAATTATGATAAAAATAGAAATAACAATGTGTATGTTTTTTGGCAAGTCAGGAAGACAGCCTGGCTTCTGGTCTGTTTCACCAGCATCAGGTCACTATCATTTACATCAGTATTCATTGACTGCAGCACAAACAAGCCTGAAAAGACCTTTTGACACTCGATCGTAAAGGGAGGGTTAACCCCAAAATGAAGATGCAGGTTTTACCTCCATATTCACACGTCAGTAAAAAGTCTTTAGTTATTTATGGGACCATCAGACTCACAATAAACCCCAGTTGCTCTGTCTCAGCCTCGTATTCCACGGCTGGTTTCTTCAAATACACTACGTGCAAACATAAAAAGTCTCCTTTTGCACAGTAATGCATGTACTGTGTCGCCAAAGGACTCAGCAGGTGGGTCCAAATATCCATTATTATGTTTGTCCTTTTGCAGACAACAAGGTAATCCACAAATTGCTTGGATTATGATGTGATTTTGGTTTTTACTCTTTTCATTCATTAGCCACACAACGTTTAGATTTAGGCTCACGGGGGGCTGGAGTCAATCCCACTTGTCAGTATCTGTCAGTACTTCGGGAGAGGGCTGAGACAAAGTGTGTTGTGGTTTTCTATTTTTCATTTAAGTTTAAAGTTATAATCCTTATACTTTTTATGAACGGCCAGCTCTCTACGTCGCCGAACCTTCATCGCTAATGGCGAACTCCACCACCAACAATCTACGCCGGATTGAGTTTGACAACCTTTGCACGAGGGATTCCCAGGAAACGATGTATGCACGTAGTCCAGTGCAATCTCATCTCACTGGTAACTGTGGATTATTATTACACTGTGTCGGAGCTGTATGTTTGTAAGTTATACCTCTAATGCAAACAGAACATTTTCAACTGCTGCTGCTTCACATTAACGGTATTCAATTGACAAAACACGGGTTGGCTTTCATTGTGAAGCAGCCAGCAGAAATGCATGTAATTTTTTAAAAGAGACATGATGGTGATTAGATGAAGCCTAAATTTTCATTTTGGGTTGAATTATCACTTTAACACAAACACAGATGGGATGCATAACACTTTGAAACATTTTCTTTGTACTACAAAGTTTTTTCAGAATATCCTGTTTCTCCATGTGCTGGTTATGCAATGTCTCTCCGTTGTGGCTGATGTAAAACATACACTGGCACAGTAGCACACACTTATGTTCGGAAACAATGGATCCCTCTAATAGAGCAGACTGGTACTGAGAGAGACTAGCATGCAGGCTGGTGAGATGTCAGGTTGGGGTGATATTGAGTGTGTTGCAGGGGTCCCATGTTGCATGATTCCCCCGAAGGCATGACAGCGGTGAAAATTCTCCTGCTCTGCGTCAGATGTTTGGCGCTGATCTGTCATTTGTGACAGTTGGCCTCAGCTTGACCGTGGCGAATGGATTCCCTCCTCTGCAGGGGGAGAAAACGGTCGAAATCATTTCAAATCCACCATCAAGTAATCGTCAGTCAACTCACACATATTGTGCTGTAACCTGTGAGTTTGTGTTAGTTGTGTTAGGTCACTCACCCTAGAAAAGGAGCCTTTGCAGTCCCATTGACTAAAGAAACCTGTTGTCAAAAACAGAAGAAAAGACCCTTGAAGATCCAGTTGACAAAGAGAATACACACACAACATTCAAAACACGGCACCACACACTACAGTCACCACAAACCCACACCCTCCCTCCAGCTGTGAAGAAAGTCATTGTTGTCAGACTGGTTTGATAAGATTCCCCCCCCCCCCAATAGCCACAGTGCAGCTTTGACATGTACTTAAGATACAAACTCAGACCTCATCCAGTCTGGAATCTAGACAATCTAGAAAGGCTGGCAAGAGACACACTCGTCTTTTTCTCTCACCTCAGAACGATGATAATGTTATCGTCTCCACAGAGCCAAGTGAGCATGGGGAAGATAAAGTTGAGGGACAGACTTAAACTAAGATTTTTATCATTCATTCATTCAGCGTGCAGACACAAAATAACAGATTGTAACTTGCTGCAGGAATCTTAATTGATTTCAGTGTATTTTTCAGATGCATATCTTTTTAGTAGGAGCTCAGTTACAAAGCTTATTAGGAAGGTCTTTGTTGCATTCATTATTATTGCACAAAAACATGCACTACCCTACTCTTCCAGTAGAGAGCAGACAACATCCAGAAGTCATCAAACATGCAGCCACAGTTAGGCTCAAAACACTCTTACTCCCTGAACTCAGCCTTTCAGGCAGCACTTCTTCCAGGGTCGAGTACTGTCTGCAACAAACTTACATTGCTTAGCAAACAATCCACAAATCATAAGCAAAACAACATATCAAATTTAGCTTCTGTTGATATCCTGACTGTAAAGGTATCAAAATATTACTGTCTAATCATCATATCATTGTCTAAATTACTCAATAACAAAAACTATTAATCTTAAAAAAACAAACATCATTTTCAAAATGAAAACATAACATTCTAAACCTGTCAAGACAAAAACAAAATCAATATTCATATCAGGATTAGTTGTGTTTTCACTGCAAGCAGACATATGGAATTAAAATCAAGACGTACAATTGAGCGTTGGCAGCAAGTTACATATCTACTGTACAGTACACACAGAGCCAAAACACAGAAACTACATATTTGGGCAAAACCAGAATCTGTTTTACTATATGTAAAACATTACACCAAAGAAATATGTAAGTTTTGGAAAAACATGTTAATTTTGTGGGAACTACAAAACACAGGTCACAGCTAACGTTAGCTAAAGATAATTCATCGACTTTTTCTGACCTGTTCCTGTGACTGAAAAGTCAGTTGTGATGCTCCAGTATCTTAGAGTTCGTTATACCACATACAAGTGTAAGGCTACAAAATCTAATGATAAGAAGTAACAGCAGATAAACCAGTCTTGCTAAAAGCTAACTAGCCTAGCTTAGATACAGAGTACAGTAACTAACGGTGACTCTTTTTGTTCAGTGTTTTACAATTTTTATAGCAGACTTTGACTGAATAGTGGCTGAAATTTCAAACAATTTTCTCTTAATATCACTGTTCCTTGAGTTACTGGTGTCGCATCGGAGCCAATCAAGCAATTAAATGTTTCCCGCTGAAACTGAGACACCTCAATTTAGTGTCCAGTCTATCAAATGTGTAAGGGAGGTATGAGCTCAATGCTACCTGAAAGCAAAACTCAGGGAACTCAAGTCCACAGAGCAACGGTGACAAGTTCCACCTTTCCCCCACAATCACGATACAAACCTAAAGCGCACAGTCAGCCCTCTGCCTTCACCTGAACAACTGTTTGAAGGCGGGGGGGAAGGATTTTTTTTTTTTTGTGTGTGGCATTATTATAGTTTTTGTTTACTCTGTGCTGCATTCAAAACTTAAAAATTAAAAATGCGATAAGATAAAGAAGTTTATATCATGGTGAAACCCTGAGCCAGCAGATACAAAGGACACTGAGTACAGACAGAGCAGCGAGGAAGGTGATGATGAGGGGGAAAGCAGAGTGCCTGGGCTTGTCTGCTGGCTGGACAGCTACTAGTTCATTTTCAATCAGCTGACACAGTGCAGGCACAAAATGAAATTGTGTCTGTACCCTCGTCCTTTATGCCACCCTCTGTAACTCTCTCCTTTTCTTCCGATCTCTCTCTCCATTACTGAATAAAACCTGGCGTCTGTTTCTTTTTAGTATTTTGGAGCCAGCAGCTTTTATATATAGCTTTTATATTTTCCTCTTTGTCTTCATAGACTGCTTAAGTCTGTATCAGCTGCAAAATTGCAAATAGGCTCCTACACATTTAAGGCTTGTATATCCTTTTGGGAAATGATCATCTCGATAAATATAGCATATTTCCTCATACAGGTTAGAGGAATTGAGGTGTGTTTCTGGCTCTGATCTGTTTTAAGGGTGTGGAGGCGATGACTATGCATCAAGGAGACATTGATATGACGTGATTAGTCAGACTAAACATCTAATATGTGTGATGGCATTTTGTGGTGTGGGCGTGGAGTGTGTGACAACTTAGGTTAGGCAGTGAAGATATTCCATCAGGAAAAAGACCTTTTCTAGAGCATCTGACCCATTTCTTAGACACTCAAACACGGCAGCTGCCCACCACAAAGTCTTCTACCGTTAGCCGCTGAGTAGGTCTACTGTAGCCACCAGGGGCTTGGTACCTGGCCTAAAGGCACACTAACAACAGCTGTTAAAAGAAAGAAGCTGTTAGTTTACTAGCTAATTGCTAACTTAGTTGTTGCCTGTTGCTTGGTGCCGAGCAAGAAGAGTACAGTGCAGTTTTGCTGAAAACAGCTTCCTGCTGAGAAACCAATCAAAACCTGAGCTGAGGAAAACTTCAGATTCAAATTACACATACTCATACTAATTCGACCCATTGTTATTATGAAAAAATATCAATTATAGCAGCTTTAAAGTACATTTGTTGTTTAATGCTTATAGGTACACTGTGTGTCATGATTTTAAAATATAAAGGAAGCCTTTGTTTTCAAAACAGCAAGCGAATCTCGTTACATAAATCATACGTTTTTAAATATCCAGCGTGATTGTTTGTATTTCCTGGTACAGTACTTCCACATTACTAAAATGTATTATATAAATAAACAATGTGCAGCTACCTACAGCTGTAAGCGCTTCTTTCATCTGCAAACACCAACAGCACAGAATCTCATCTCCTCTTACTGGATAGTAAAACAGCTTTAAATAATTTTTAAACCCCCTAAACATTAAATCCATGTTAAAGAGTAGTCTGTTTTAGTTCTCTTTTGATTATCCCTCGCATGTCTTTCCTAAAGAGCTTTTTGGCACACCATTTTGATAAAAGGTTCTCTGGAAAACAGGAACTTTAATACCTAGAAGTTCTGCAACATTACATTATTAAACTGCGCACAGCACGCTCATACCATCTCCACCAGGCAATGATGCTTTATATCAAAGGAAACAGAAGAAATCAGACACACAAAGGATCTAATGTTGCTCTCTGCACTTAAGGAGACAGTTTCTTGGTTTAGTTCATTATGTGAGTGGAGAACAGTGAACAGGGATGGTACGTTCTGTCCTCCTGTGGCCTTACCTTACAACTTAAGTCGATAAAATAGGTGTGTTTTTCCAATTAAAAAAAGAAAAGAAAAAGATCTTGTGCAGGTTTAATAAATACACCAGACCGCACCTGGCTGGCTTGTGCTCATGCAGGTCCTGGTACTAACCGTGTTCTGTGGCGAGGGCGTTGAGGAGACCATTGGGCTAGAGGGGGCGTCATCGCTGTAGTCTGGTGGGGGAATCAACACCGGCTCTTCCTCCTCCTGCTCTGGCAGACTGGCCACACTCAGACTACGCACTGGTGTTCCCAGATAGCTGCTAAGACATGTGACATAAAGCTTCAGCTATCAAAACATCAGCCGTAGCTACATTATTGATTCACTTCCTGGCATGCTGTGATGTTTTCTTACCTATTTAATATCACTGGCTCAGTACAAGGTCTGCAGTAAGAAGAGGGAAACCAGCCCCGCCTAATGAGAAAGACACACACATCACATCAAAAACATCATAAAACATGACACTGCATGATACCATTACACAAATAACACCTACTCTGAAATAGTCTGACATTTTGCTAGCTTAGCTTAGCTTAGCAAACAGACTGTAAAAGGAGGAAACAGTCAGCCTGGCCCTGTCCAAAGGTAACAAAATACACCTATCAACGTGTCTAAGTCTCACTAATCAAGACTATATTTAGTTTCTTTAAGCCTTACAAGAACATATGGTGGTTTTAAGGCAGTTATATCCCAGACTATTACTTGGCCACGTGCAGTGACTTCCTGGAGTCTTTCAACTTGTTTTTGTTTTTTGTTTTTTTTTACAATTTTTTTAAAAAGGATTTTGCCTTAGGGGTGCCGGTAGGTGGAATTTGTTACCTGCGGACAGAGCCAGTAAAGTAACTAGTAGAATAAATCATAATTTTCTCTAGAGGAGACCTCTAAACCCAACTTTAGTAACCTTGTTGTCACTAACTTATGGTCACTGAAACTAACAGAACCTGGTGCAAAAATTTGAATACAGTTAGCAATAGTCAAAATTAGGCCAATACAGGTTGCTTGATTCATGTCCTGGATAATGTCAGTGGTATTAGCATTAAGCAATGTCAGCTGGGACAAGTGGGTGGTTTTGCTCTGTTTTCAGTGACCATGTTATTCTCTGTAGTTTTCGTCTAAGATCACAGAAAGAAAGAAATCAGATGAACATCGGATGATGCACCTCAGTATTCTTCAGCCTGGGTGGGTTGTGTCATAATGTAATAATACGCCCAAAAATCTATTTCGCTAAAATGATGCATGTCTCTTTTGAATTATGTTCAGTTGCTGGACCTCATTCAATAAGTGACTAAATAGAAGAGTCAGAGCAGAAAAACTGATACTGACGTTCCCCATTCTGCGTGCACACAACAGACTGCGAGAGATCTGTTTTTTCAAGGGCTTGTGGGTTACAATTGCTGAGAATCACGCCCACAGACAGCACACTTGAATCAGATGCACACATCAGACATAAAATATATAACAGACAGAGAGATTTTGTTCACTAAGACTCTGAAGTTGTCTCCAAGTCACGTCTAGCGAAAAAGATGGCTTATCAGACCAATGCACTGGATTTGTTGCTAAGAAACAGAACGTACTGTGATTTATCCCAACATGTACTCTTCCTGACAAACCGCCACTGACTGCATTAAAACCACTCTGACTCAAAAGGCCACTTAATGACACACACACACACACACACACACACACACACACACACACACAGGGCGCAGATAAGGCTTGCAATTTGTTTTAAAGTGGGAACGAAAAACATTCGACACAAGCTCTGTAAGCACTCCGTAATCCTTTCTCCAGCATTATGAGTCCTAATTGATCTACCGAGGAGTTGAAGATGGCTGTAATTACACTGGCAGCTCAGAGGCTACTTTACAGATTTATGCTGCTTCGGTTACATATACAAACATGACTTGTATACAAACAGCGGATGAGAACATTTTTCCCCGTCTGCCGTCTGGAGGTGACACGGAGTCACTGCTGCCGAACAAAGGTGCAATTACACTCTTATAAAAAAAATCCTAGTTGACATATTTATTTCACTCACTCATCATCATGTGTCAGCGGTAAAGAAAATAAAACATTTGTTCATTGTCGGGTGACATATAAAAGACCAGATGTCACTTGTCTGTGTGTGTGTTTGCACCTGGATTTTTTTTTTTTTTGTTAGGCAGGGCAGAGAGAGGGAGAGATCAAGCTTTACGACTGTCATGTTGAACATACCTGACATAGTCTGTGTTTCTAGACATGATGTATTAGCGCAGCAAAATATTAAAGAAACACAGAGCAGAAACTAGTACTGCCACCTTAGTTATGTGAGAAATGCCTGTGTGTCAGTGCTGCTGTGTATTTGTTGAAATGAAAGTACATTTCGTCTTGTGGGTGTGCCAATGGTCATATTTAGTTGGTATTTAAATCAACTATCTGAGGGAGGGATTCCACAATCACACTTTCTATTCCACATTAAATTAATTTTTTAACAAGTTATGTAAGACTCTAAAAAAAAAAACATATATATCCTATCCAGCTCTTAAGGTTAAAGCACAGTCATATTTATATATTTTTGTTACTGTCAACAAATCCCATACCAAAACTAACAATGTGTTAGTCTGTACTCTCTGTGGCTCTCAGCCTTAAGCCCAGCGGCTCCCACCATAAACCTTTAAAAACAGGTCATGTAGTTTATGTCGCTTAATTTTTTTTCAAGGCTATATTTTTAGGAAAACCTTACGCAAAGAGGAGGAAACATTTGCTGTGGACTATTTTCAGAGGCGGATTAATACATATTTGGTGCATTAGGAAGTAAACAAACTACCACTGTGTGTGGTCATGGTAATAAAGGAACATGTCACTAACACTCATTTCATAATGCTTTGATGTAAATAGAGTAGAGCCATCAACACGTCCCTGTAATATATAAATATTTAGGTTGGACATAAGCAGAGTCAAAACTTACTGCCCCGTCTTCTCCAGCTCTCCGTACAGCCAGCCGTCCTTCTCATCCTGGATGAGCAGGTTGATGATGTCGCCGTCGTCGAAGCTGAGGAGTGTGTCATTGTTGCCCGACGTGTGGGGAAAGATGGTCCTAACCCGGTGTTTCCTGCCCACATTGAGACCAGACGACTGGGATGTCGACCGGGACATACTGCCCTCTCCGAGGCTGCCTTGGTCTGAAGGCAGCAGAGGTTCAGAAAAACAAAGATGTGATCATGTCAGATATCGGTCAAAACTAAGCAGGATTTTGACACTTGATTTTGACACGAGTGCGCTTTCTTGCAGCGAGTTAGATGAGGAGATTGATACCACTCTATGCTAAATATGACACTAGGGGGAAACAGCTAGCCTAGCTCTAATAACAAAACATGGCTACCAACACCTCTAAAGTTCATATATCAACATGTTATACCTCATTTGTTTAATGTGTACAAAAACTGAAGAGTAAAAATGACAATGCCCCATATTATGTGTTCATGATAATGTGCTGAGGCTAGCTATTTCCCTGTTTCCAGTATTTTTGTGCTAAGCTAGGCTAACCAGCTGCTAGCTTGATCTTCTCTTGTAACTCCCTGCCAGAAAGCGAATACGCATATTTCCCAACATGTAAATTCCTTATTCCTTTAAAGTCCAACACAATATTAATTTACAAGTGCTGCCATTTTGACACAATGTGAAGGGAGTACACTAGTAAAGCCTAAAGAAATGGATCTTGCTGATCAATGACTGGACTGAGAGACGCCACAGTCATTTTATGGGAGACAGGTATATCTGTTTCAGAGCCGCCATCACTACCTGAGTTGTGGTCTGAAGACGAGGTGAGCGGAGATCTGGGCTCTGGGTTGAACATATTGGCTAGCGGACTTATCTGAGCCTTTAGCGGTGGCGCTGGAGGAGGCACCACTGACTCCACGTTGTTCTGAAGAGAAAGCAAAGAACATGATTAACAGATGTGCTAATATGGCCGTGTGAGTTGGCAGCATTCGAATCATAACAAGTATTTTTGGTTGAATGAACTCTTGTGTGAGTCCTTATTGAGGCAATGATTTTAAACAGTCATTACTGAAATTGAAGCTTATTGTCTCCCTCCTACGCAGCAATAAACAGCCGTGGGTGAAAAAAAAACATTCAGTGGACTTTAACAGACGGTGTCAACAGTACATGTAGGATTTCCCATGGCCGGTAGCCAGATAATGATAACCTGCCTCTTTTCTCACAACGGCTTCAATCTGATACAGGAGAAAATCAGTGTACCTTTGAAGGATGAACTATAAGCCACAACAAGACAAGATAAAACTCTCCAGGGCCTGTCTTTTCTTCAGGATTTGTGCCACTTATATACGATCTGACAATGCTTTCATCCCCAGCTTTTATCTGAGGCACCTTACACTAAGATAAGTATCTAAATAGATATAGGTTTCAAATGCAACAGGTCTCTCTTGAAAATGAAACTTTTGGAAATAATCCTTATCTCACAGAGGACACAGTTTTGATGGCAGTTACATGACGAGCTAAAACGCACCCTGTTGTAGCGCTCAACCAGCGGCGATTGTTCTGGGGTGGTAGCGAGCCCGTCTATCATAGTCGCCACCGTGTCCGGCACCTTGGTGATGTCGCTGCACTTTTCCTGCCAGCTGGGGAGCTTCATGGCCAGCATCTCTTTGGCCTGGAAACACCAGAGAAAGAGAGAGAGGGAGAGCAGGTGTTAAACAATTCATAATGGAGTGAGGGGGGGGGGGGGGGGGGGGGATGTTCGCAGGATGTTCATCTCTGTCCACGCTCTTACTTTCTCATGGAAGTTGCTAATTTGATAGGAGAACATGCAGTGCTTGTCTGCCAGGAAACAGAAGCGTCTCTTCTCTTCCAGCAAGGCCTCTCTGCAGCCGTCAGCGATGAACTTCTGCATGTCCATCTGGCGTGATGAGATAGTCTCCATGTACTGCAGACAGGGTCACAGGACATTCAAGGAGGTCAGGGCACAGCATTAAGAACTAGTTCAATTTCAGTTTCACAGTGATAGTAATATATTATATTGAGCACTGTGCCTACATCAAATAAATTAATAAAATTGCTATAAAGAAATAATTTAAATAATATTTGAAAAAAGTAGAAATAATAAATAATAAATAAATGAAACAGAAATATAAATAAATAATAAAAGATAATAACAGAAAAGAAAATTAAAAGAAAAAAAATGTATGAAAAAGAAATTATGAGAATAGAAATGAAAAAATAATATTTTACATAAAATGACAAGAAAGAAGAAAAATAAATAAATAACAAAACAGAAATTATAGATAAATTATAGAAATAAATAAAAAGATGAAAATGAAATATATTTATTGTCTTTGCTTATCTACCCTTACCTATGTATTTAATTTACTTCACTCTTTGTTATAATTTAATTAAATTTGATTTTCAGTATTTAATCTTTCTACTGACTCACTTTTAGTTTAGGTATTGGTATTGGTAGTTATTAGGTATTGTTGTATATCTCTATATATTTCTAATCACATTAGCATTGGTAACTATTGACTGTCTGAAGTTAAGTGTGCTGTGAACACCTGCGTGTCATCACTGACCTAAACAAACTGTTGTTTTTTACCTTTTCATGAGCTTGATCAAGTGCTGTGTAATTGTGTTGCTCTGACGAGTGTTAATAAAACACCCTTGACCACATTTTTACTGGCTGAGATTTATGTTTTCTGAGTGCATGTTCACGTTGCAGCTGCCAAAGCCTCAAGCTGCAGAACAAGCTTTTATACCTCCGTTTTTTTTTTTTTTTCTCTCTCTCTTTGGCAACAAAAATGAATTTAGTAGAACAGGGTGACTCAAGCACAGCAATCAAAGTCTCTACACTTTGCAACAAGTTTATTTGGGTGTCTTGCTGCTCATGGATCGATCTCAGCGCAGTGGGAAACCGAATCCGAGTGCTGAAAGACACACTTTCCCCACAGAGCGCCTGAGATTGACTCTGTCTGTCATGCAGATGCAAATGGGCGGCTGGACCTGACATGACGCATATCAAACTCTGTAAAATGACTTTTCAACCTCCCCTCCATCCTTTTATTCTACACCCACCCTGCGGATGTATCTCATTTTCCCCAGGTTGTCATGGTGATGGTAAAGCAGCCTGTCTCTAAGAGCAGAGACCCTCGTTTTCTACTGCCTGGTCTCATTTTCTCTGTCTCTTCCTCTCTCTCTCTCTCTCTCTGCAATATCCCGTTAGACGCCGAATCAAAGCTCTTGCTCTCCTATTCTCACAGCGAACAATCACCCGGGCTCTGAGCGAGAGGTGGGAGGGCACACACACAGGACTCGGCTATCATTGGCATCTCTACAGATGATGATTAGAGCGCTGGGCAGTTAGCCTCGTCTCCCTTGTAGTTCACCGGTGTCATTTTTATCAGATGATGAAAAAGCCACTTCTGGGAGGGGAGGAGGGGCCCCAGTTTCAGCTCACCATGAGAGCCAGGCTCAGGCTGCTGTAAGCTCCACCCAGATAAGACGACTTATTGTGAAGGTGTCTTTTAATAGTGCGAGGATAAACAGGAGACTGACGCTGATTTTAGCAGTAGAGGAAAAAGAGACGAGAGAAGTCAAAACATCCCTGTTACAACCTGCGGTAACTTCTTGGCTTTTCAATTAAAAGGCTTTGTTTAAGAATTCACCCCAAACAAGCCAGGCTTACACACCATCCATCATCAACGTGAGGCCATAAAAACAGTCGATAAATTAAACCAAGAGACAGACGGGAGTAATTGCTCAGGCTGTGCAGTCCCTCCTTCATCTCACCACATTGATTTACAAAGCAAATCGCTGTCTGAAGTGTTAAGACTGCTTGTTGGTCACGGACAACAAGATGTAAACACCCCCAACAATGTGCAACACTCAGGAAAAAATATACTGCAGGGACTCTCAGGGACACCACACAGCTTAAAACAAACCCACATCATCAAGGCAATGTCAATACAGACTAGCAAAACTTCAAAGTCATGTTTGTGTACCTCTGCTCACTCAGCAGTGACATTTGTTTTGGCTGTGTTTGTCATTTCAGAGTGATTTCAAGAGATTAGATTTTTATGAGAACACACTGCTGTTGATCCACAAATGCTTGCAAATAGTTGTAAACAGATTCTTTGTCCTGTTGCTCATTTAATTTAACTCTTTGCTAGAATGCACACTGTTGCGCCGCAGACAGCGCAGAGATGAAATAATGAACCTGATATCAGCATCAGCAACACGACGACGCCGGGGCGAGACATCACAGGATCATATTCATTCACACGCTGCGGGTCAAACCGGCAGCAACCAGAACAGCACTGAGTCAAAAATGTGACCTTTGATTATCCATATGACGTATAGATTTATCAGTAAATATGCAGAGATGGAAGCGATTTGAGGAAACTGTTTTGAAAAATTGGTTTGAAATATTAGTTTGAGAGAAAACAGAATTTTGCAACTAATGGAAAATGGATTCAACCTTTTTACCTATTGATGGGTTAAGATTATTGTTTCTGTAGTGGATTGGATTTGCTTTATTTTTTTTGTGTGTTGTGTCTTTGTGTGTGTGTGAACATTGAATGGATGATTGTATACACGATCATTTAGGCCGAGGAGTGTTTTGTAGAATAAAAAGAACAAAACAAAGAAAGGCATTATGCAAAATTATATATAAGGAAACCAGAATCAACCTCAAACTTTATCTTGAAGATGATCAGATGGTGGATGAGAGCACTTTAATTTTGCGCCAGGGAATTTTTAACATAAGATACCAAAGAAGGGACAAAAAAAGTCAAATGTGAGTGCGGCTTTCTCTAAATGAACAGTTTACTTAGTGCTGTGAGGAACTTCTTATGAATGTCGCTCTTAAGAGTCCCACGTGGGCAGAGGAGTGTACATACCTCATATCTAAAATGATTTCTTTGGGCAAAGTCTCAATTTGAGAGAATTGGATTTTCCTAAGTGCTGCTGCCCAGCTAGCTCTAATTTGGCATATTAAAAAAAATGCAGCTTCCTCACTGTATGTCTCTGAATGATAAAACTAAATCTAGTTACACTGAAGATACAAGTCTGTCTGTAACCTCTGACTTTTTACGATGAACCAGAAACAGAAAAAATACATACACGCCAACACTTGTGCAAATTTGGGTGTGTGAGCGTTCAATATAAAAACGCAATCATCCGTCTGTAGCTGAGCACACAGAGCTGAGGAAAAATGGTTTTATTCTCCCGCAGGTAAACACAGACAATCTGCAAACAGCGTTAGGCGTGGTGGCACCTTTGATGGTTTTAGTCACTCGTCTAAAAGAACTTTTAAAATTACATTACATTTTCTTCCCCTGTGAGCGTAAAGATCTGAGGACACTTAGAGGGTATGTAGTGGTCGAACACACTTCTCAATGTCTGTCATCAGTGATGTAATGCCTTCACATAATATTCATTTCAAACACAACTGGAAAGCAAAGGCAACTTCATCTTATATAAAAGCTTCTACCTTCACTCGCACCTCCTTCTTAACGTTGGTATGTGAACATCATAAGAACTAACTTGGCCACCTTATCTTGTCTTATCTTATCTTATCTGATCACGGACTTGAGAGCGTGAGCATGTAACAGTGCCATGCTTGAAAAGCCACACAAAGTATTAGACAAGTGCATGCTATGCTCTGCAGGAAGGGAAAAGGTTGGAGTCGGTGCATGGTTTCAGTCACTCACCTCGTTCTCTTTGATCTCATACTTGGATGAGTGCTTTCCCTGGCTTTTCCTCCTGAGCTTCTTCAGGTCTGTCTGAGAGCGCTCCAGGGAGTCCTGCTTCAGCTTGTGCTCTGACTGATAGCGCTTGAACGTGGCCTGCATGAGACGTTTCACAGGGAGGGAAGATGAGCAGATTGCAGTTTTCATTATAGAAACATTGCTCAAATGCAGAGAGGTTAAAATAATCAATCAACCAACAGGAGGAGAAACCCTGGTCAAAAAACACATAAGTGGTTAAACTGATGACTAAAACCTAACAAGTGTTGATTCCTCTCTTTGAGGTTTTATTCCATGTTTCTGCCTCCAGAGCTTTGCCTACATGAAATATGTTTGCATAAAAACTCTCATAAATAGAGGGAGGACGGGTTGGTGGATGCTTGCACCGATGAATAGAGGTAAACTGCATGTGGTGACACTTACATTCATGTATTTCACATCCATCTCTGTCTTCTTTTCCAGCTCAACGATAATCTCACTGTGAAACCTCTTGAACTGCAGAGAGAGAGAACACACACACACACACACCTCGTATTCGTTGCAACATACATCATCGTCCATGCGCGCTGTTCCAAACACAACGTACAGTTCAGTCACATGGCTCGTCGCGATAAGAGCGGAGTGACCTGCTGGAATGTATGATAATGGGTTTCTGAGAGGATGAGATTCCTCCCACCAGAGATGCCTTATCAGCCTGTTGAGGTTAAAGATTTACAACTTTTTCCTGTCCGGATAAATTACAATTGGCCCTGCAAGTAATAAGGAAATTTACGGAAATGACAGGAAGTTTCTCATCCACACAGCATGTTATTATTTGCATTTTAGGACTTTTGCACAAAGTTTTTCTTATATCAGTCTGAGTGTTGAGTTTCAGTTATAGCCATATTCAAACTGGTGACGCTTGACTTCCATTTACTTTCGGGAATCTGAGGCATTTCACCCCCGAGGCAGCGGGGCCAGAAATGAATCTGTGGCTTTTCCACTCTTGTCAAACTTTTCTTTACAGCTTTTGTTACAACAATTTCAAACTGTTAAAAATGAGGGGAATGAGCTCAAAAGGTTGAAGGGGTCACGTGTCCAGAGACGAGAGTGAAACAAATGGCCATTCTCTGTCTATTATGTGAAGATAAGCGGAGCATTGGTGGCCACAGGGTACTTCTAGGAATGACAAACGGTTGCTCCGAGAGGCTCAACAGGTGAACTCTCAATGCACTGAATTACTTAATGACATAATGGAAAAGGAGGTTGCTGAACTGCTGTGTTTTTTTATTGTCAACGAATCCAATGAAAAGTCAAATACCTACAATTTATTAGTCCATTTCTCAATACTTTCCCCAGGCTACAAAAGCCATTCACTTCCTCTGAAGATTTAAATCTTTAAAAACTGCTCAGAAATTGATAGTTTCATGTTGTAAAAAGGCTCAATAGTTTTTCTACAGCATCTGGCGCTGTACTGTCACTAAACTGTACTCAGACATTAGTAAATGGTGCGTTTGTCGGTGTTGGATTTGGTGTGTTCCTAAGTATTTACAGCAGTAGGAGGCTGGTGTGTGTGGGATCGACTCAAAATAAATTACAGTGGCCGTGTTCATAGTAATAAATGAACATGTCACCAAGTAGAACTGTGTGACTCACTGATACTGTATGTTTTTTTAATAGTTCCTGGACAGCAGTGCAGCTCTATAACACAGAGGAATAAGCGATATATAAGCTGTGATATAAACCTGTTCGTGGGATCAATTCATTATTGGTTTTGTTCTTTTTTTATTTTTCATGAGATTTGTTGACAGTAAAAAAAATAAATAATAATAATTATTACCAGTCAGAACCTTTAAGGCTACTTACGTTTTCTTCAAGTTCATCATGGACCTTCCTGTGGGCGTCTGCGATCTCCATTAGAACCACACCTACGAAGACATCAGGGACAACTTTTAGTTTATCAGAGAGTGTTACAAAAGAAAGAGGAACTTTGGGTTCGTATTGTGACCAGGGTCAAGAGGAGTTCTAATGTAAGAAGTTGATATTTTGGGAAATAGGGTAATTCGCTAATATGCATATTCCCAAAATGTCAAACTTCTCCTTTAAGCACAGTCGGTGACAGAGAACACGTGGACACCAGAGACCAAGCATCCGACATCAGTGTGTAACTAGATGCAGATTCAGCAGGAGATGTAGTTTATAATAACTTGTTGAAAACCAGCAACAACAAACACAAATTTCCTGTATAATAAACACGACCTCCTTTTCATCAGGCCTTACATACATCTTTACAGTCCACATTTTACAGATGACTTATCGCCTTTCAATATTTGAACAGCTGTCAATAAGTAATCTCTATGAAACGTTCTGGTATTGTGTGGACGGATACAGAACAGTCTCCATTCACAGACAGGCTTCAGTGTAGATAGAGCAGCATATGACATGAGACAATGGCAGTGGGTCAATACTGTAAACAGAAGTGGACAATTGTAGCTAAGCAGTTTATAGTGCTACCTCTATCACAATGGGGTGAAATCTAGACTCAAGGTTTACTATAGGACACAGTGTTCTGGTGAAACCTGTAAAAACAGTACGGGACAGCATATCTGGACATGTGACAGTGTCACTGTGAGGAAAACGGGCAGGCGTGAACAACCTACATGGATTTCATCACCTTCAGACGAAAGCAAAGAAACGCACAGGTGTCAGGTGTCAGGTTCACTTTGTGATTTTTTTTTTTTTTTTTAGGTGAAAAAAAAAAAAGCTGCCGACGTCAGGACCCTTGCACCTAAACATGAACACCCAGACACCCGGCACCTGACATTCCTCCCTGTTCGCCTCCGGTCAAAGCAAACAAACGTAATAACCCAGTGATGCAGAGCTGGACTTCTGTGATCCAGCAGGCAGCGTCCAGCTACAACAACATTGCCCTCTGAAGGTCACCAGAACGTACTGGTAAATGCTGCCTTTGTCTTTCGACGGGGAGGGGTGGCGCTGGGCGCTGGGCTGTTTGTACAGCCCCAACAACAGGCTGCGCGGGGTGGAAGGGGGAGGCTGAGAAAGGCCAGGAGGGGGTTCAAAGAGGCCGTTGTATACCTGCAGGTTTCACCTTTGGGGTTAACAAGGTGTGAACGCATGCCTGAGGGATGGTAAATGCTACAGAGAGTTTTCAGCGACTGAAGATAAATATGGACTGTAAGACGCACGAATCTGTCACATGAACAGCTAAAGAGGGTGAATTGCAGTTGAGAGAGACAAGGTACAATGTTGTAAAGAAGTCCATGGAAATAAAGCGCGAGAGCTGAGGTGTAAAAAGTAAATCATTGATTTTTTTCTAGCTGAAGTGTGAATAAAAGACTAAGGAGAATATGTACCTGGCTACACAATGTTTTAAACATCCACTGGTAATTCAAGTTCATCAACAACACGGGGCGACTTTTTCTCACTCTGTCTTATCTCCTATCTCGGGCTGTTGAGGATTTAAAGTACCAAGATAATCTAATCTCAACTCAACAGTTTCAAATACACAACGTCATGTTTACACGCATTTCTACACAGACTGGTACAAGGTTGATAAAAACACATGTGGAAAACTACACCACCTGTGATTGGCTCATATAACTTATGATTCATTATTACGAATGCTCTCCTCCACTTCTCTGTCCAACACGTAATGTGGATACTGTAGCTCACATTGAGAAAATGACCTTTGACCGTTCAATTCAACACATGTTGCTTGCCAGTGTGTGTGTGTGTGTGTGTGTGTGTGTGTGTGTGTGTGTTATGCTCAGGATAAACAGCAGAGGGAAAAACTGGTCCTGTTATGATCATTCACTTGTATGTGTTCTTTGTGCCACCAGTATCAAATGCCATTTTTTTCTTTACAAGACGGCTGATAAGACAGAGGGCGACGCCTTCCACATTCTCAACAGGTGACGTGATTTATGAGCTGGCAATGCCCTGTGGCAAGACATCCCCTGCCCATTTGGTACCTGATAAGGAAACTGTACAATGTGAGGCGGCGTTGGCGGAGCAACCACTTACCGCTGACGCGTTGGCACCTTTTTTTCTGGCTCACCTTTTATTTCACCACTTTATCCGACTGACAATCCCTCCTCCATTTGCCAAGTGCAAACAACATCTGAGTTAGGGCTGAACTTTGCTGCGACCATCGGTCATCGACTTGTAGCAGCGTTTCATCACAGAGATGCATCACTGGGTTTGTCTAGGCAGGCTTGCAGTGCGTGTGATGAAACACGGCCACCTCCTGTGTGACTCAGGATTGAAGAGTATGTCACTGCAGGTGGGGAGAGGTTGTGTTTGGAGGTTGCCATAGATATGCTACTCCCTCCTTGTAATCATGATGATGTCGCTGTGCTCGATACTAATAACGCTGCGGTGGAAACACTTGGAGTGGTGACTGTGATTAAACTCCAGTCGGACTCATTGTTTCTCACAACACTGGCTGCTCCAAGAGGATTCAGACCTTAGTAACTCTGCTGTCATCCATTGTGAGGTCAAGGAAAATCCTGTCATCTGACTCCCAGTTTTAATAAATGTTATCTTGTTGAACCAAACAAACTTAATCTTACAACTAGGACACTTTTACAAACTCATTGCTAAAAACAACCAACCACTGCATAGAGCGTGATATTACTGAAAGCTCCAGATGAGCTTATAAACGTACCCTGAGGTAAGCTTGTTTTGTCAACCGGAGCATGGACAGGACGTTCGCAAAGTGCTCAGAAAAAAATAATGAAAATATATCGTCACGACACGACGAACTCCATCTGCTGATGAGGATCATGTGACGTGGTTGAAAGCTCAGTAATAGCAAAATTAAAGGACACTGAGGTGAGGTGACACAAACATAACAATGTAGACGGCTATTCGACTGACGAAATAATCACAGTGTCTATAAAATGTCAATAAGGTGAAATAATACCCATCTCAATTTTTTTTACTTCAACCAATTGATTATGAAACTGGTTTCTGATGATCTATTACCTTCAGCTCTACACTCACAACCTAAAAGACTTGTGTGCAGACTAATGTACGTGCTCGCCACCCTTGAGTATTGATTATCAGTATGAGCATCTACTGTCATTCAGCATGTCTACTGTGTTCGCAGCAGATCAATAGCTGTGACAGCTTCCTTAACATAGAGTGATGACCTGCAGTTACACACAGCACACAACATTATTTATTACTCCAGCACATAAAAGTAACTGCAGCCCCGAGCATCAATAATAAATCTATATTTACTTAACAGAGAAAACTAAAGGCAAACCTCAAATAACCTTAAAAACTGCATGTGTGTGCGTCATATGTTGCTCACGCGAAGAAGAAGAAGTTGGTTTGAAGTTCTTAAAGACAGTTACTTCCACTAAATACTGGTTGAAATCTTTAATAGCCAATAATTGACTTGAGACTCTGTGTGGGCACAGGAGCGCTCAAAAAGAATCATGGGATATTTTTGTGAAATGACTGGAGTGTGACGGCGTTTTAGAGGCTCCAACTTCATGGTCCATTGAGCGGTAAGTGGATCTCTGGTCCCTTCACAGGTCCCTTGGAGGAAACTACTGGTGGACTGGAGAACCTTTAGTTTAATAGCGGCTGCAGAACGAGGTTGTTTGAGGTCTGGGATCATTACAGAGTCGTGGAGTGTGACGGCAGAGGAGTCATAACTGACTCAACCATGAGTAGAGTCTTTGAAAAACAACCTCCACCCTCCTCTATTTTACTCATTTTCAGCTGTCTCACCAGCAGTCTGGTTGGGGAGAACAATCGTGTCTGTGTGGTTGACCCTGATATTTTAAGTGTGTAACATCCTACGTCCAGATACATTTACGTCATTAACGCCAAATGTCGCCATATCGGCTGTCACCACGCAGAGACACACACACATCATGACAAGATATAACACATGTAAGAACATAGGTAATATAGGTTAGCTTTAGAGGTGCTTTTTGCTGTCTTTAAACTAAGCTACGTTAACCGTCTCCTGGTTTCGTTTTCAGCGTTTACAGGTAATAGGTGTGAGAATGGTATTGATCGTCTCATCTAATGCCCAATTTTTTCTTTAATGAAACTTTGGGAGATGTCGCATGTCATTGCTCCGATGAAGGTGGACACTGCTAAAATGATGTATTATGTCATACACATAATTTCAGATGTTGAGAATGAGAATTTTTCAAAAAGAAAAGCGCTTTTAACATTTTTAAACACAACTGGCCCCAAATGAATGAAAGTTTATTTTCTGTGTCTTCATGAAACCGCTTATGGTTCCTTGACGCTGCTGGTGATGTTGTGTCTGTCACAAACTCTTATTAACCATAACTTCAACCTCCCTTCAGACTAAATGAAACCAGTCACAGCAGCTATCGAGGGGGGGGGGGGGGGGGGGGCGACACTCAACAAATCCTCATTCTCTGGGGAGAGAGAGGGAAAAAAATCGCTCTGGTCAACATTACCATTTCTCTCATGCTGTCAGTGTACTTCAATATTTCAAAAAACAATTTCGACTAAAGCTTGACAAACAGTTCAGAGAAAAGGTGGAAGGGGTGGGGTTCGAGCTATTTATTCTCCGGTAACATTTTCAGTCCGTCAATACCTGCTGCTTTTCAGAGTGGAATAGCAACTCCCTGTGGAGCCCAGTCATGCACTCATACACAGGAAGTTTCTAATTGTACACCCACTTAAACATTTAAATATACAGTGTGATGTATGGCATGACAACTACACCGCCATGGTATTTCTTCCTAGACGGATGGCAACATTAAAGCAAGCTATGATGTAAAGCTATAAGCATGTGTGATTTCACAGATAGTGGCTTTAAAGACTGTGTGACTTTTGCTGAACTGCGGGCACCGTGGCCTCAAGTAAATGATAATGGCGCATTCAATTTTTATTCCTTTAATGAGATTTCTTGGCTTCCTCACAGTTGCTGTGAATATATCATCATTAGGCAACCTGACCGAGAGCAAGTGGGATGGGTTGACAAGCTGGAAACAGCAAACACGTCTCCTCATTAAGAATGGTCTGTTTATCTCTTGTTATACTTTTGGGATAAAAGTAAAATGTTGCTAAAAATGTCGTGTAACAGCAGCACAAGCACAGAAGTGGAGAAGAGCAATAAAGTGAGCAAACTGACTCGGTAATGGCAGTTACGCAGCAATATCTTATTCCTACGTTAGCTAACATTAGCTAACATTAGCCACAGCTGTTAATGTAACGTACCAATAGCAAAACATACAAATAACTCCTTTAACTTTACGACGAAGATTGTGTTCTTTCCTCTTCTAAAGTTATAGTGCCACTTTAAGATACATTTTATTTAACTTTTAAAATGTTCAAATATTTGACATAATTGGTACTACAGCTAATTGGTACAACCATAAATCCTGTAAAAGTCAGTGTTACCCCTTATTTCCATACAGCCTGAGCCTCCCCTTGGCCTCCGCAGACTGACAGAAAAGACCTGCGGTGGGTTTGCTGAGGCGCATGGAGGAACAGGGGGGATGAGCCTGGATCACTGGTGGGAAGATAGTCCCCTCTGTCTGTCTGTTTGTTCAGCGTGTTTGCTACTCCTCTCACTGCAATGTGTGAGAGAATTCACACTGTCTCGCTGTCATCTACTCCAGGCAGTCAAAGACCGGCTGCCAATCCATGTCTTTTTTTCTAGAGGCCATTTTGAGGCTTTTCTATATTGGGTTGCATTCTTATAGTTAGGGTCAAATAAGACTGTGCAATGTAAAGTTTTCTTTTCTGCAGTATTTCAGTGGTCAATTTTGTTATTTCACTTTGACGGTACACATTCAGCTGCAGGCACATGCACACGCTCACGCTCATATAAGCAGACATAAAATATCTACTCACACCCCAGCATGGCTGCAGTGAACAGAGAAAGAGGCAAAGGCATGGAGAGAGCCTTTAATATGGTATTTCAATGTTAAAGCTGCTATCCTCAACTTCCCACATGTTAAAAATCTGTCAAACCTGGTGTGGCGTTGCACCTTGTTGTTTTTGGTATGCAGCGAAAATGTCACCTGCCAACCACGCAAACATGAACATATCATTTAATGAAGCGATGAAATACGGGCATGTTAACTGACAGGTGTGACCTGACAAACTCGACCAACGTTTCGTAACGGACGGGTATGGAGAGTGTCTCCAGTCACAGTGAATGTTTCACTGCACAGATAAAAAAATAATCTTAATTTCTAAATACGAGAGAGAAGATTTCTGTGTTTGCATCACTAACTTGGAGAGAGAGAGAGAGAGAGGTTCCAAACTTACAAACTGTTGCGTAACATAATTAGCAATAAGAAAGGTTTTTAAAATAGATATAACCTCTGTGTCTATATATCAAAGCCTGCTCAGTTACATTTCATTCTGGGAAACTGTCCACTAGCATTATGAAACATATCCTTCATAGTTTCCTTTTCTGACACTGCTACTGCTATGATGATCAACTCTGCTGCTTTGATGCTTTGCTAACTTCCTTTATTAACACATCCACCAAATGTGACAGACACACCTAATCTTGTCTCTTTCATGCAATGACAGCTCTGTGAAAATCACTGCACCTCGTCTGACATTCCATCAAAATATGTTTTTAACTTGAAGTAATGCAAACGCCATGTGAAAGAAGAGAACTCAGTTAGAAAAATACCGGCAGAAAATAAACCCACTGCTTTTTTTTCTTTTCTTTTTTTTTCTCAAAGCCATGCATCATGATGTAAAATCTACGTATATTCACGTTGGTCGCCGTTTTCATTTAAAAGACCACGGGGAAAAATGACAGAACATTATCTTTCCATTTTAACTTCCCTGCTCTGATTCCTCGCCTGTCACATCAAGCTGAGCTTACATGAGGCCAATTTGTAGACCCCAGCAGGAAGAAGTGACACAGCAGAATATACAGAAAACCACTTGATGAATTGTAATTGCACTGAATTAGGACCCTTGGACAAAATGGGTCAGCTCCAAATTTTAGAACTAATAGAATAATGGGAGATGAGTCACAGGATGGATGTACAACAACCTGTGAAAGCTTGATGGCAGCCTCAGAGAGGAGAGAGAGGAGAGGCCGCACTTAAGTCAGAGGGAGAGGCAGACAGCAGATAATAATGAATTTCTGCTGCTACTGTGCCACGAGGGTTCAATCAGTGTTATTTCCAGATGTTTGCATTTAATTGATTCGCATTTTGGATGACGGCTGCACGCAAGGCAATATATGTCACCATGATGAAGGTGCATAGAAGGGGCTTTTTGTAATGGTGTAGATGTTCAAGGATGTTTGGGTGAAATGAGGGCGGTGATTTAAGTGAAAAAGTCACTTTCATCATTTCATGGTGACTTAAAAGAATCAGTTGGACATGAGAAGATCAATACCATTTCCAAGTCTGTATGATACCTATGGTAGAAGGCTACAGCTAGCATCCAGTTAGCTTTGTTTAGCATAAATACTAGAAACTGGGGGGGGCTTTGGCTACTAGCACCTCTAAACCTCACTAATGAACTAATTAATTGTTTAATTTGTATGAAATGACATGTTTAGTTTTACAGGGGATCATTTCTTAGCTGTGGGCAGTGACTTCCTGGAGTCTTGTTGAGGTTGCCAGGAAACCTTCAAGAAATAGCCGTGCCTATAACACTCCACTGTAAGACCACAGCTTTACACAGTTTTATACTTTGGTTTTGTATAGAAAAAATTATAGAAACATAACGTGTTAATCAGTGAGCTTTAGGCGGATTTTGCAGCCTTCAGGCAGAGCTAGCCGGCTAGCTGTTCCTCCCTATTACCAAGCTTTATGATAAGCTAACAGCTGCTGGATGTGGCCTTATAGCCTATATCACGCAATGACATGGGAGTGTCATTGCGTCCCCGTCCCCCCCCTTGAGACTTGGCTCACTGTAGGTAGATTTAACATGGACTGGTGTGAAACTCACCAAGCTCTCTGGAGACCGGAGACACGATGGCATTCTCTCCAATCCTTGAGACCGCATCGTAATAGGCCTTTCCAGCAAGAGTCATGGCTGCGTGGGGAGACAGACAAACATCATCAAGTCACTGGCTGGTAAAAAAAAAAAAAAAAAGTCTCCCTGGATCATTTTGTGTTTTAGTGAAATGCATGCAAGAGGACTTTTGACAAACTAAAGCAGTATCAGTGTCGGTGAGGGTGAGAACTGTGTTTACCTGTGACTGATTTCTCATAGCTCTTCCCAAGGTTGACCAGGTTTCTCAGGCCTGGGTTGAACTGCTCCATCACATTCTGGGACAAAGAACAGAGATAAAGTGTGTGGAGGGAAGCAGCAACCACAGCTTCTCCTGATACAATAACTTCGCTTACTCACAAACATCTCTAATTTCTTCTTTTTCTTTTTCTTTTTTTTTTTTAAGGGCCTAACCGTGAATAATAAAGATCATGAGGCTATTTTTGATGGAGTGGGTGTAGAGAAGAAATACATGAAAACAAGTGCAAGTGTTTGTGCAGTTGCTCTATAAATATCACCATGTGAGAACAATAAAGCTTTCAATTTTTAACTTGACCCCTCACGTATGCTTTACAGCTCCCTCAAAAGAGCGAAGTCCCACACAAAGTCGCAGTTATTTGCAGCATTGAACCTCATCATACTCACCCTCCCACCCACCCTGTCTCGCCCTCTCTCTTTTTCTATTGAAATGCCTCAACAATCAAGTGCTGTTCACCTCCCTGTCTCTATTCCCCTGGCACGCCCTCAATAGAACAATGAAGGGGCAGGTATGACTTTACACGGAGAAAAGAACAGAGCGGAGGAGAAAAAAAAGAGAAAAGGAAACGGGTTCCTTGTTTTCTTTTCTCTCCCTCTCTCTCTCTCTCTCCCTCCCAGCTGAAACTGTGGCACACTGTAAACTACAGGTATGACTCTCTCTCTCTCTCTCTATGTCTCTCACACACACACACACACACACACACACACACGCACACCCAGTCTGTATCTCTCTTTTGGATTATGAACAGGAATCCAAACACACACACACACACACACCCAGACACACACTCTCACCTGCTTATCAAATGTGAGGGGCAGCAGTGTAAACGTGATTAGATTAATCTGCATTGATTAAACAATATTATTCTCATGATCAAATGACTATTGATCAAGTTTCAGCAGGTTGATTGATGGGTTGGGAGAAACTTTTCTGTCTCTCCTCACATTTGATGGACAGGAGAGCTTTGACTGCACTGAGCTTTACTGTGATTTATGCATCTTGTAATAATTAAATAACAGGGTGTGTCCCTCTTGTTTTGTTGGCGTTTACAGGTTGTTATTAGAGTTCGCAAATACTTTCGTTCCATGTAAACAACAGTTTCAATCTCACTTGCGCAACCTTTTTTACGGTAATGACAAGGTAATAAAAGGAAATAAAACTCATTTAAAACGTGACTAGACCCAATAAAACACACACACAGAAATCAAACCTCTGTGGTTTTTAGTCGAGGTTAAAATGCAATAAATATTAATCATAACCCTGCTGTGTAAAGCTGATTCCGGCTCTTAGTCTTAATAACAAAACAGACGTACTATCTATCATTTATTTGCTGGATGTATCACTCACCTTGTATGTACTTTCAGTAAGCTTGCTCACATCATCTGGAGCACGAGACATGGTGGCAGGTTGTTTCTCAAGCCCAGTGGTCGAAAAAAAAATAAAATAAAAAAAAAATAACAACAACAAATAGAAAAATAAAAAATGCTGCTTCGTAGTCCAGGTGTTCACGCACTCACTCGCTCACAATAATAAATCCCACAGCCGGACCTGCTCACTATCCGTATCCCCAACACTCTTTGCGTGTGGGCAGAGCGACGATCAGCTGCCGGCGACGCACGCTCTGACTGAGACACCGAGGGACTTCCCCGTGCTGATGAGGAGGGCGGAGGAGCGCGAGGGGTGGGGGTGTGGGTGGGGTGGGGGGGTGGCGTGACGTCAGAGGACGCGTTAAACAAAAAGTTCTCTTGGTGAAATAAAAAGTTATGTGAGAGTGAGTGAAACAACTTTTTGTTTAAAATAAATAAATCATAAAAGATTCAAATCTTTGCACTGGAAGATTTTGTTCTTTAACTTAAGAAAATTAACACTTTATAACAAGACATTTCATACTTTTAGGCTAAAAGTAGGATAAATGTTAGCAGGCTCCAGTGTACCGAGGCGACCAATGAGGAGATCATGAGGCAGGTATGACGTACATGAAGGGGTTTCTTTTATTATTATTTTTTTTCCACAGCACCAACAACCACCATACACAGCCTGGCTAGCTTATATACCAGACTCCCTCTAATTACTGACTGGTCTGTACCATACGCACAGTAACCCCTTAAACACATCCCCATAAATATACAATAAATATTTACATAAAACCCCTACCAAAATATAAATATACCATCAATAAATATTAAAACACCTGAAGCCAATGAATAAATACTCACTAAATAATTTACATAAGTATTTACATTTAAACAAGAAACTAAAACTCCCTTCTACCCACTTCTTACTTGGCATCTCCCTCCTGGAACTAATAAAACTTGTCTGAACCCATGGGGAACCCTTTTGCCTGAACACCCTGAGAGGAAGAGGTAAGACAGAGGTAAGTTTATGCTTCACACACCAAGGAAAGACAATTAACTAACTATTAGTTTGCTTATACCGAGTCTTACCTCATACTTTTACTACACAATTTACTGCTGCAATGAATCACACATCAATACGCAGTTTCTACTCATGTTGCTCACAGGTGAACAAGGAGGTGGAACAGCCTGGCATCCCTGCTGTGAACCATGTGCTCGGCAAACTGCTACACAAAGAAACAGTAAAACAGTCACACAAGCAACCAATTCATTAATCAGTAAACACTTTAAAACCACATGTGTGTTTGTTTCATTTAACTCACCAATACATGCCAAATGTGTTTCACAATTTATCATTACCATTTACCATTATCACAGACATCCAGTAAAGGCGAGCCGTCCTTACAATAAAGTTGACCTTTATGATCAAAAAGTATTTTTGTGAATATCAAATTACTATATAGGCTATTGTATTATTATATTTATATTCATTTTGTGTATGAATAGCTATGTTTCACACTATATTCTAATGTAAATCTTAGGTTATGGAGCACAGGGCCGGCCCAAGCCTTAACGAGGCCTTAACATGGGTGTCTGCCTCATGGTTTCCTAAAAGTCTGTTTCAAACTAAAACAGCGTTTCCAAAAGCCTCCGTTTTAGGGGCTTGAAACCTTCAGAGCAGTGTGGACACCAAAAACTAAAACGTATTGGTGTGGATGCAGCCTAGTTGTAGCTGTGTTGCACTGACAGAGGCAGTGGGGATTCATTAAACCTATAGTACTAGCTAGCCAGTACCTTAATATAATATTGAATTTTCATATGATGACCTTTAACATAATATATTTTTTAAAACAAATAAAAAATCAGTGCTCTTGAGGGCTCTCTGGTGGCCACGGGTCCCAAAACAGGCACAAAGAGAGAAATTGCATTAACTAGAAATACTTGAGTAAATACAAGTACAGTACTTGAGTAAATGGACTTTGTTCTATTTCACCACTGTTAGTCTTTATCAAATTCACACATGAACAGTCCACTCACATGGGATTTAAAACTTTCCAATACGATCTTCATATGTCAGCGTATGAAGTGCTGTACACCTGAGAAATGTGTTTGGGTGCTGTGTCTCCGTGTGTAAAATTAGGTTATAACATTGTAGTCTACATATGTAGGCTATAAAATATCGCAGGGTGTTAAAAACATGCAGAAAAGGTCAATTTTGAAAACATGGTTTGGCATTTACTGTAAAACATGACATGGCCTGGTGGGGGTGATGTATCCTGTCGTTTGAAAAGCCAGTGGTGCATCATCTGCAGTGGTGAATGTTGTCCTGTCTGTCCGGCACTATGAACACAAAGTTTGTTGTTCATCCCAACTTAACTCAAATTTGCCATTAATTAAATTTCCGTAAATAAAACACAAAGTGACCCTAGCACGTAAGCAGTTGCCAGCTGCTCCGTTTTATCCCTTATGCGAACTGTATAGTTTGAAAATCTTTACATTCTTGAACATATATTTTTTTAACTGTGTATGTAAGAGAGAGAAAGGTGGAAGCTTAAGTTTTACAGGTAAATCTGAAGGTGAGCTAATAAGAGATACACATATTATCATATCTATCCGCTCCATTTGATATTAACCTTATATTTAAACTTGGTAACTTCATCTAAACATAATTTAGGGATGGTCACAGTAATTATAACCTATTGGTTGTGTATTTCTTGGGTTGTTAGCGCCACCGTGTGGATATGTCCTGTTTCATACTAAAACGTATTAATCTCAACTGTCCTTGTGAAGTTCGGCTTCAGTTCTTTTTTTTTTCTCTGTTTCAGAGACGCATGAAAATAGAAACCTGCAACATGTGAGAAGATGTCCCACATCACAGAGAGGAATGTGACCCAGGCCAGAGCCTCCTGTTCAAAAGCTGGTTGTTGTTCTCCAGCCACATGATTGAAACGCATGGTGACAATTTCAAGCCTTTACGGCTCTTATCTGCATGCAAGACCCACATCACCCCCCTCCACCTCCCTTCCTCCCCCGTGTCCAATCACTCCGATTTCAGCATTAACTTTATTCCTGCTTGAGGTCCTCCAGTGATCTCCTGCGAGAGGACCAGCAGATATGGACAGGTAAATCCAAAGTCTCCTTCATTTAAGACATTTAACCTTTTAAAAAAAATCCATATTTAAACTTTGGGACATATGTCGACAGAAAAAATGTTGTATGGATCTTGATGCTTCTCCTCCTGGTCCTCCTGGGTGTGGCAGAGACTACAGACCCTATGACAGATTTGGGTAGGTCATCATTTGTTTTATTCATTTCTTACAGGCATAGTGGCTTCCTAATGAAGTATATCTTCTCTTTTAAACAGAAAATATTGCTGGGAAGCTGGTTTTCTATCAAACGGAGGGAAATGCCACTTATGTGAGAGACACAGGGGAACTGGCGTCAGATGTTCCCACAGAGACCATGTTTGAACTCTTCGATCCTCAGCGGAATTTCAGCACCGCAAAATTCTCCTATACGTGGGATTTAGGAAACGGGTACAAGGATTTTTCATTGTTTTGAATTTTCACAAAGGCTTGGGATTCTTTTCTTTATCATTTCATATTTCTTTTGGTCTCCGATGCAGAGAAGTGATCCAAGGGACAGAGCCAGTTGTCCGCTACCACTACTCAGAGTCAGGGAACTACACTCTGCAGCTGAAAGTCGGAGTCAATGTGACCAAATATGCGCCTCTGATCACTGGGGTCTACTCCACAGATGTTCAAGTGCTCGGTTCGTAGTTTTTCGCTTTTATAAACACATCAGCAACTTGTTGCAGTGAGACGAGTGAAATGTTTTCTCTGAGTTTTCGATTGAGTCTCACAGCTTTTGTTCCTCGGAAGAAATAATAATAAAAAAAAAAGATCAGATGATGAGGCTCTGGTAATGTCACTGGTCCCAAGTGCAGTTCCAGCAAACGTATGGAAATGAATGCAAGAAAATCCCCAAGAAATTGAACTTGCTCTGTTAGATGATCTGATATAACTGTCATTAGATGTTCAGTACTAAAGGAACTCTTGAAACTAATTTTAATAAAAGAATGTTTTTGTATTTTGAGTCTTATCAAAGTTCATTTGAGCTAAACTAATCCTAGTAAGTGGAGAAATGACTAATAAGTGGAATTGACTTTGTAGATGCCATCAAAAACATCGAGCTGAAGGGCCCTTCAGATTATGAGATGTCTCAGAACACCAGTTTGGCTTTTCACGTCGATGGAAGGTAAGTCACATTTTGTTTACTGATTTCCTTTTTCTTGCAATCAATTATTGTGCACAGAATAGAAAGCACGCATCTTATCCAGACTGCAATGAAACCGTCACTTTAATTTTCCTGTGTATATCTTTGTTGATCACTCATTAATCTCTGTATTTTATGAGATACTTGAGATTCATCGTTCATTACATTTCAGTTTTTCCCATCAAATGTAGTGTGTTCAATGGGCACAAGTGTGAAATAATAATTTGTTTTTATTTATTTTTCCTTTATTTTACCAGAAAGTCCCATTGAGATAAAAAAAAGAAATCTCTTTTACAAGAGAGACGTGGCCAGGATCATAATGATCGATGTGAAAAAGACACCATTATTCATCTGCCTATTTTCCTTTTCCTTTTTCACATTTAGAAAAAGAAAAAAGAAAAGAAAAAAAAAATAAACAATAATGATAATGAAGGTTAATTTCCCCTGTGTGTGTCCGTAGTCCTCCCATGTGGGTGTGCTGGCGTTTCCTGCCTAACTGCGTGCCAGATGTGGGGGGGGGCTGCACACTGACCATGTTGTATGAAAACACCCTGAGACTGAACCACACCTTCACCTCCGCTGGTGTCCACTGCCTGGACATCAGCGTCCGCAATGACGTCAGCAAGCTGGAGACGTCCTTCAGCCTCTATGTCAAGAAAAACAGTGAGTGACCACACACACACACACACACACACACACACAAATACCAGTACGTTAACATGCTACTTTCCATAACAAAAAGAGGGAAAGGGAGGGAAGAGAGGAGGCAAAACTCAGGTGAGAAGATGTGCAGGAAAAGAGAGACAAGTTAAAAGTCTTGTTGACTGGCATGTATTACAGCACGTTGCTGTTGCTGGAACAAATGTTGTTGAAAAGATTTTCCATAATTGAATGGTTACACGGTTTCTCTGAAGATTTAGGAAATTCTTTGCCATTTAAGGGTTATAAAACTCACTTTCAAACATCTGTTAGATAATATTAAAAGTGCTTTGTCATGAAGTGATGAAACAAGACCAAAGCTCTGTGTTTGTTCAGACTCATCTCGTTCAGCTGAAATGTAGAAATCCAATCACAGAGGATGGATGGAAGTGAGATGTGAAAGAGCGATACCACTGCTCCACTGCTCAGAGCACGGATGTAGAACAAACCTACGACATCACCTGGAGAACAGACATCACACTCAAGGCTACTTCACCTTTGGTGCCTTTTGAACTGGGAGAAAAACCTGTAGGTTATCAGTGAAACAAAGCCATATTGATCACCTGACACTTTGATCTCTGTGATGAAATCGGAGCATGTGACCACAACAAACCCTCAACCACTCCCATGTGACATCACGCTGTGAACGACCCCGAGAGGTTTAACAGGTTTCAATGCCTGTGACTCCTCGTTAGTCAACTCTGCAATCTATAGAATACACTTTTATTTTAACTCGACAAGAGCAACATGGCTGTCAATATGAAAAAATAAACACACACAAAATGTCACTGTACTTAACATGGGAAAGGTATAAATACTAGAAGTTTTTCCCAAGGGAATGGAAGTTTATTTATACAGCATCATTCAGACACAAAGCAGTTCAAAGTGCTTTACAGAGTCGTGGAAATACATTGAATGTAAAACATTAAGATGACATTAAAATTGCATTTGAAAACAATAAAAACTCATTTGAATAAACAAAACCAATTTAAACAAAACATGTTAAGATCAGGTAAGAAGCTAAATGTGCACTTTTCTAACTGCATATTCATAAGAATGTGAATTTGACATGAAAGGAGATTTCTAATTATACACTTAGTACCAGTGAATATGAAAGACCAAGAGAACGCAAAAGCTTTTAAAGTGATTCATTAATCAATTTCTTTATTTTTTTATTTTCATAACCAGAGACACAACGATCTGATCAGACAATATCCTTCATCCCTAATGATCATAGTAATTACACATGCAGCGAAATACTGAATGTACATATACTGTCTGCAGTGGTGACCTACCCTGTAAACATGTCACTGCGTATTACACAGTATAACAAATGTATTAAATCTGTCTATAACCCTGAGATCAGCATAGAGACGACCCATATAGATGAGAGAGGTAGAACAGATGGAGCTAGTTCACCTGTATGTAACGTTTTCAGGATCATATTTTGGGAGCTCGGGAAAGTGCAGCAACGTAACGAAAGAGCATGAACAGAACCGAAATGCCTGTTCAGTTGTGGAGTTTGAATTGGGTTGTTTTGTTTGAAAGATCGTATTAATTTATCATGTTATTATAAAATGAACCAAACTGATTTCTTTAATGTTTCTATTTACAGAAGAACTTATTTATTCATAAACTCTTTGACTAATCTGCTTTTTAATTTGAATTCAGTGCGCAGACTTTTTGTAATTTGAATGAATAAATAAATCACAATGACTCTTTGATGATTCATCAGTTTGATCTAGTGGATGCACACAGCTAACTACTTTTAATTTCCTATTTTTTGTTTTGTTTTTTGTTTTTTTACAATCAAAAAGATTCTTGAAACTGGGAGCTGTTACTGTGTCATGAGGTGTTTCAGATAAAACTTACCATGTGCCATTTAGCTGCGTTAGTTCAGCTGACAGAGAGGCAACAGTGAAAATGGAGGAATCCTGGCATATCAGAGGAGAGCGAGCTGACTGGTCGGCACATGTCTGCTGTGCTCAATTGATTCGTTGTCGCTGTGATTCAACTGAAGTTGTTATCCAAGAAAAACTCATAATAACCAGCTTTTAATGTCAATTTCCTACTAAATAGGAAGCAACTTTCTTTTCTTTGAAAAACTGGAGAATTTTAGACATGGATATTCACATTGTATAAAAACACACTGTGATCCAGTATATACTACTGCACTTTCAAATCATGTTTTGTTACCAAGATAACTACACTCAAAGGTAACAGATTTTTTTCTGTGTTAATTTCAGCCAACCCTCACATGTTCTTCATCCTGACATGTGCTGCCGTTCTTGTTGCAACTTTCTCCTTCATCACAGTTATCGCCTGCCGCCCTCTTCATCACAACAGATTTCAGGTACATGAAGGACCGAATGTGCCGCCCGGTCTTACAGTGAACTGTATGTAAATGCAAAGTATTCTCTTATGCTTCAGATTAACTTTTCATTGCCCTGGGTTTAATGGGGCAAAGTGATTACAGGACATACATATACTGTCAGGGGTCAGCATTTCAGATGCCACATCAATAAGTGGTAGTAAAATGATGTACTTCATCATATCGTTTAAGATTGGGTAATTAGCATTTCTTTATATGTTTACGTTAGCTTTGATGCAAAGAATCTTAACCCTTATTGAGGTAATCAGTGATTGCACTTAATGCTGTAAATGGCCACAAGGAGGCTGTCTGTGCCTAGGATTAAATTATACCTGAACAACAGGTATTTCTCTGGGAGTAGAAACTCTCAGAAAAATTCAGTGTACTGTGAATGTGGGATTGATTTTCACTGTTTGTACAACTGCGATTCATCTAAAAGCAACTTTTAACCAAAAAGACATTTCAATGACTGACTGAGATTTGTCTGTATAAATGTCATTTTGCAGATTGCAACTTCCAGTAACGCTTTATTCCTGAAGAACCAAGACTCAGATGGACAAAGCACGATTCTCTTCAACTTCCCCAACATGGAGAGAGGAGAGAAAGAGCCACTTATCTTGCAGTATGGGACTCAGTACTCCTCTTAACCATCATACGACTGCTCTGTCTGCTATCTATCTGTGTTCCAGTATACTGTTGCTACATGCACATATATGTATTTGTAATAACTTGTAATAAGTGTCATCTGGTCACATATCACCATAATGGATTTATACAGCTAAATCTGTGCACAACACATCGCCTGAAATGGTATTTTTTAATAGATCAAGTTGAATAGTTGTCTGTTTAGGACTATCTTCTCAGCTGTGTTTATTGTTGGTTTAGTCGTTCTTGTTTAGAAAGTTAAATACCATCTGCATATTCCCTAAAATAGGTGATAGTGATCAATTAATGAGTCACTGAGCTCAGGCTGACATTCAGATGAACTCATAATAAATTAATGGCTCAAGTGCAGCTCATGATTAAGCAATGAGTTTTAATTTAAGCATGCTGTGGATGCATCAGACCTACTCATTTATTTTTCTTCTTTTATATATTGATGTGTAAATGTGGGCATTGCTTTGCTTTGCTTTCAAGATAAAGAATAAAACATATGTTTTCTTTGTATCAGCTTTTTCTTGCAGCGCTAAATATAAAAGAATTTAATAACTGTATAATTTCTGCTCTGAGATCAGTTTGATCTCTGTGGAGTGGAAGCCAGAACAGAAAGTCAACACTTCTTGAATTCTTGAAACATTTGAAGAAGCGCTATTCGACAGCGCAACAAATGTACACAACACAACACCACACACACACACACACACACACACACACCAGTAACACAACTACAAAGACTAAGAGAGGGGGAGTTGTTGGATAGCTCTAATGTTAAGACGGAGGATGGCTGTGTGCTGGAGGAGGGTGGTGATATTCAGCCTTGCTGGACACAATAGTGAAGATAAGAAGAGAAACTGGAACATCTAGTTTCTAAGTGACTGAGAAAGTGAAGGGCAGAGGGGGAGGACTGGTTTATAGGCCACTGAATCCAGTCGGACTTAAAGGAGCTGTAGCCAGCGTTAGCATCGACAGCTGTTTACTTATCAGTCTAGAAGAAACATTGAGAGTTCAGCATCAACTTCATTCCTTTTCACGCCAAGAGCTGTCTCCAGAGGTGGAAAGCAACACCAATGTCAACTCTTGTCTCTATCACATCTGTTCTGCTCAAGCTAGCGTGCTAACCAGATAGCCTCAGCCCGTCTCGTCACTTTTCCGATAGCGACTCACTGTAGCCTCCGGTGTGCCTTGAAGACGAAGTGCTGCTCAGGGGGTGTGTCATAATCTCTTTTATTATAAAGTCAACGATGGCCGAAGCGCTTGTCAAGTGACAATCACAACCACCTGCTAGAAACCACGTTTGGTAGCAGAGAAAACTTACAAACAGCGTATCAGTTCATATCTCACATCTCAGATTTGAATCAGTTAACCTCAGAATTGAATATACGGAAATTTTGACCTGACTGTCGCGCTAGTCGGGGAATCGCTGTGAACATTTTAAACTTTGGACAACGTGAATGTCTGTACCAGATTTCATAGCAATTGACCCGATAGTTGTCGAGGATTTTCAGTCAAAACCACAAACATTACCCTTGTGGTGGTGCAGCAGGAAAAGTAAAGAGATAACTAAAATCATTAGGGTTCATCCTCTGTGCACTATGGATATCTGAACCAAATTCCATGGCAATTCATCAATAGTTTCAGATTCCAGTCTGAAAGTAGTTGATTGACTGACTGACCTGACACTGCTATCCACACGCTTTTCATAATGAAGGAAATCTGGCCTTTACTAGTAAACCCTCGCCACGCCATGATGCACATCCTAAGATATATTACACTATAAAAAGAAAGTCATTGCAGTAACTGAGATGCTGAGCGAGACTAATCGTTATTTAGCACCAAGTAACAGGTGGTAATTATCAAGTTAAAAAAAACATCAAAGTGTCAAGAGAAAATGGTTTGAGAAGAATTAAACCAAACAAAAAGGATGGATTAGCTCACACAAAACAAAATCCTTGAATCTTTTCCAACTGTGCTGACGTCAATCAGATTATTTTTATGCTGTTTTATACCTTGATGGTGTTCGATGACAGCTTGTCCTCGGTTAGAGATGTCACAACATTATTAATCGTGAGGTTCTTGATGAATGCCAGCTGTCAGAGATGCTGTGAGGAGCTGCAGGTGTTTCCATGAAAGCCTCACTCCCGTCAGAGGATCGACCTTGAGCTAAAACTCTGCTGGGGTTAAAGTCTGCAGCCGTCCACAGTTTTGAGAAGAATAACTTCAGGCTTTGATCTCCTCACTTCACTCACATCCGCTGCAGCTGCCTCATGTGAATATCTGGGGTTGGAAGACTCTCGCAAATGAACCTGGAAATATAACTAGCAACTTTTGCATGTTCAACGGAAAAAACACTTTTGGTTTGTAAAGCCGTTTATAGCGGTCTCAACTCACAAACAGCTTGTTAAAAATATAAACTATAACTGATCTTTCCACTGAAAACATAAACATCACCATATATATTCCTTTTAAGGAAAGTTAAAAAGTTTCTGACCAGATGTTGCTTTATCAGGCCTTCACTTCAATGTGGGTGGAATAATATCTGGGGGCTCTGTGGTTGGAAATGTGTTACCTAAAATGCTAAGCCACAACCACCGTGATTAAAGCAACATTAACAGATTTTTTTTTTAAATTGGTCATTTGGGGGCAGTTGTGGGCCGCTGTGAACACAACACTGTTACACAATATCATCACCTTATTAAATTGATATGAAGAATGCATTTGCAAACAGTTGTTTATTTACATATTCAGCAGACACATTAGCATTTATTTGTCACTAATTTTATTTTATTCGTCATGTGTCTGGCTACCTGACAAATGTAAGTTTAATATTCACCCTCCCACCCACCCTCCACCGTGTTCATCAGCCAGTCACTAACCGTGTCTGTCTGCTGTTTTGGCAATGAGCGGGTAGCGTGCTGTGGATTTTTAGAGCCCATGTGCTGAAAACAGAGGCAGTGAGACTGAACCGAGACATTAAAGTTGCAGGACAGAAAACCAAAACAATGAGCGGACGAATGCTAAAATGCTCAGTGGAGCTGAGAGGAACCGCAGAGTTGGATGATAATTCTCTCTGAGGGTCCGTCACTATTTAACATGACACACATTTGATTAATGCAGCTTTAAGTAATCCCTGACTGTGCTGACAATGCGAATTCCAAGCGGTTCTCCGGTCAATAACAAAACTGTGAAGCCTGCTTATACGTCCATCTGTGCTGTTCCATTTTCCACATCATTATTTCCATTTTTATTCAACAACCTGAGATTGTTACACCTTGTGACATTGATTGATTAGTTAAGTTTTGTGTTTGCATGCTGTTTTAGGTTCAAGTTAATTTGCTTGTAAGAATTACTCATTACACCTCATCTTTGTGTGTTTTATCATTAAATCATTTTTGATGCGTCATTACTTTTACATTTGGCACAGCAAAAATCAACCATTATCCATTAATCCAGCTTTTTAATATCAAACGTAAAAACAACAAGTTGCTAAACTTGGAAACAGATACAAACACATGCAGACCAGCCTTGGACATCCTTTCCATTTCCATCACCATTATTGATCAAGTTGAGGTGGAGACTCTTATGTTACTGCATTTTTTTTTACCCCCTCTTCACCTCAGAAAAAAGGCTGAAGGGATGAACAAAAAAATTGCCTTCCACTATGCCATGAAAATTTAAACTGAATAAATTCTGTCCTCAGACAAGGCCACCAGAAAAACCGCCTGTGTGAAATATACAAATTAATCAGACAACCTCACTCAAGAGCATCATGTGAAGGCTGCAACACCAAAACCCTGCTGCTGCCTGCAAAGGCCAATACAATGTAATGGGTGTTTGGTTTTTATACATATATGAATATATATATACAGTATATATATAGATAGATATATATAGCAGGCAAGTGCAAAAATATCATTAAATATATCAGATATCAGAGAGCACATTGTACATTTGATGTAATTGTTTGCTCAGTTTTGCTTTAATTCAGCAGCAACATGATCAGCTCTTGCATTAAATAATCAGCGTAAAGTTTTAGGCCTAATTGAGACGTTTTCAGAGCACTGCGAGTTCGGAAGGAGTTTCTCTGTCTAAGGGAGTGTGTCTGTGACGTTACCCATGACCCTTCGGCCGCTCTCATCTGTTAAGCGTTGCTAATGCCACCCGGGACACCTGTTGTTGTCTTGACCAAAGCCTTCTCTGTGTAAAGACCCTGCTCAGCCTGTGTTACTTACTGCTCGTGTCACTCCTGTGTCACCTTACCAGCTTGACAGATACCGCTAACAAGAGGCGATTTTAAACTGGTGTAGATCTGCCATATGCTTAAACGAAGTCTAGCACAGATTAACTGAATGATCTGATGTTCACTCTTAAATACCAAATATACGCAAAATAAAGGAAGCACAATGCAATGGCTGACGGATGAAACACAGACATTTGTAAATTAATTTTGCAGCAGTACTTTTCTTTATTTTCCACATTTTCATTTATTGGCAAAGCAAATAATTTTCAACACTTACAAAACATGAAATGGCACTTAAGTCTCCATTACAAGGCCACAAGACAATGCGGATAGTACCTTACACATGTACTGAAAACCGAGATTACATAAAAAACTAAAATCTGCCTGGACAGAGACACTAAATGATGGAAAATTACACAACACATACAAATGCTTCATGTATGACATGTACATTCAAATTACATTCGGGAGAGTTTTGATAATTCTAGTCTATATCATCTTTTTGTTGAATGCTTGGTTACAATATCCACTGCAACAACATTACAAATCCCAGATAAAAATATATCACAACACTAATGTATATATATATATATATATATAAGAATATATTTAAACATGATTCACCATTTCAAACAAGTTTTGTTCAAATGGAAAAGGCAGGAGAAAAAGCACTGTGATAGACTCACTAGTATCACTGGTATCAGTTACGCAAAGGAAGAATCAAGCTTCCCAATAAGGTGAGTTTTCCCTAACTCCTACACAAGCTGGAAAACTAAATCAACAGTAGTAGTTTCTATCAGAGAGTTAAGTCTATTGCACACACGCTCCATTACCACACAATAGATAAAGTGCCAAATAGCATTTTTCCAGTTATATTTCCAATTAAAAATGGCCGAACACGTCAGGATCAGAGGTGTGATTGATGTTGGCCCCAAGCCCATTCCCTAGTTAAGGAAGAGACATAACATTAGCCAGACCTTTAATCTTCCCTCCCACACAGCACGCAACACCAGCTCACATGCCAATGCCAAACAGTCAGCTAGTCTGGAGTTCAATGCATTTGTAGTAGTAGCAGTACATGCGTGCGTCTGCGCCGGACTAAGGTGGATTTTCATTACTTCAGAGCTTCTGAGTGTGGAGGGAGGGGGGGGAGGGGTTGGTGTTAGCAGTAATACCTGAGGGGACCTTTCTTGCTATGGTGGGTGTAGTGAAAGTTTTAAAGTACGTTAATCATGGCTGATTCTGATTATCTGATTGTCTCTGTTCAGCCTCCACATGAAAAATTTGCACTTTGGTGTGTTACCACATTCAACGCTGCAGGATCCGATTGTCCACAACTGTCGTGTGTAGGCGAGCGTTTGATTTTGAGAGATCCTATCTGGGTCGCATTTCCCAAACATATCTCTGTGCGAAGCAGACAGCAGGTGTAACATACAGTCCATAAACTGCTTTACAGTAAGAGCAGACAATAAAAAAAAGAAATGCTGAATGGATGGAAACACCAGCTAACGAAGAGAGAAGCAGACAGGCGGTTTTTAAGCGTTGGGCAGCCGCTCCTGACACATCTCCAAAGGCCGTTTGAATGCCCCCCTCCCAAAAACTTCAACATTGCTTGCCAGCCAGGAGACCACATTCCCGGGGATGTAAGAACTGCAGTTGGCCATCGACTGGATCTCGACTGGCTTCAGAACACGGTCCCAAATGTTCACCTGACTCAGCTCGCCCACGAAGGCCTGTCCGGCATCAAAGCGCCCGCCCACCACGTCCTGTAAGGGCCATAAAAAGGAGGGGGTCCATTTAAAGCATCGTCAACAACAACAACACCATTATCAAAGGTAATTATCTTTTTGAGGGGGAGGAGGTTGTCTGTGGGACCGTGGATGGCCGGCTCATTAAACTTAAACTTTCAGGGGTTGACTGTGTGTAACTGCTTTGTTCTGGTCCGGTCTGGGTTGTGTGCACAGTTGCTACCAGTGACAACACTGAGGTTAAATCCTTAGTATTCATTTCTGGGAATCTTTTGGTTTTAGCAGCCTTGAGGGAAGGTTACAATATACTGTATGATTAAAAAACGAATACATGGTGAGCGTTTTATAAGTTCAGTCCAGGATCACTAGACTCAGTATATTGAAATGGGACTCCATGCTTTTATCAGAATTTCACCTCCTGGCAGTGAAAAGAATGAATCGATAGACCTTCATGTTGGAGGGTAAAAACATGCTGAAAATATAATTAAACTGTTAACTGAACAAATAAAATATGAAAAATACAAATGATTAAAACAATTTATAGACTTGCTGACATTTTTCACGTCCGGTCTCTGTTGAATTCCCTAAAAGTGTGCCACCTATTTGTAAAGCACTTGAATGCCACTGATTGGATTTTGATTGAACTTCTGGAAATTATGTCTCTCATTACTTTCCTTTGGCCTTTTCAAAATGATATAAAGACGGCTAAAGCGGACACTATGTTGTCTGAAATTGTCTCACCATGTCACACAATGATTTGTCTATGATTGACAGTATATGTATATTATCATCAAGTACTTTACTGCTGTCCAACTTAGCTTTTTCTTTTACTGTGCTAACAAGACTTAGAGGCTACAGCTAAAGGCTAATGTTAGCATGCTCACACTGACAATGCTAACATGTTTAGCAGGTGCGCTAAACACAAAGCGCAGCTGAGGCTGATGGAAATGTGATTAAGTTTGCAGATATTTGCTCATTAATCAAAATGAACAAAGCTAATAAACACGTTGACCTGATGATGGCATGAGATGAAAGGTTATTACAGCTGATCCTGAGGGGAGAATGAATATTTACACCAAATCTTACGACAATCTAACTATAGCTTTAACGGAGCTAAAAACACATACGTTTAAATTTAAATTTGCTGGATGCAGCTTTTCATACTTTGTTGTCGGGCATGTGGCTTGAAAAGTGTTAAACACTGCTGGTTGGATTTCCTACAGACACAGATGCATCTCGTTCATCCGTTTTCACATTGTTAATAATGCACTGATTGGTCCAGGGGGAGAACTCGGCTTGTGTGTGCAGTGACAGGTCTGCTGTTGTCTTGATAATTATTTTGTCATGATAACCTGCCACCATCTTATTACTGCTGCGTTAGGTCTAGTTGATTTTCTTATTTCCACCTGCAGTTTGTAAAGGTGTGTCTAAAATAACATTGCTTACTAGCAGAGCTACTTGACATTGGGCTTTGAAGTGTTTAACTTAATGTGAACATGCTGCACTGGGGAGTTGATGGTATATTGTTTTTGTGTTTCACTGTCTGTTCTGTGCTTTCTTTGATCTTGACAGGTTAATGTCTAAATCAGAAGACACAGGGATGTGTCAGATATGATCACTCATTTTCTCCTGACATTTTGGGGTTTCCTCCAACGCTTCCTTACCTGCTCCTGCCCCAGGATGATGACTCCCCCAGGTTTGATAGGGTGCCAGGCCGCCAGGTTGTCACCAGTTCCCAGCTTCTCTCCGTTTTGGAAAGCCTCCCATTGGCCGTCCCGTGTGGTCCAGGAGATGCAGATGTGGTGCCACCTTCCGTCACGTACCTCTAAAGGCAACTGGGCAACCTATGGTCACAATACTTTGTACTCAGTTGTGGCTTCAAAGTTTATTTACACACAGGAGAATTAAGAAACCAGAGAGTACTCGCCTTGTCATTGATGAGAAGCTCTATCGGGTTATTGCCCCACTCGATCAGCACTATTTCATTCGCTTGGCCCGGCACTCCGTACGAGAAGGGCGTCCCTATGCCAGGAGTGGCACTAGACTTGATCCACATGCAGAGTGTGAAGGCGTACATCTCCGGCAGGCTCTTTGTGATGCGGCCGTACAGGTAGTTGGTCCGCTGGGGCAGAGACAGCTTAAACTGCTCTGGGGACTTGAAGTCTCCTCCCCCTGTAATGAGACAGGCAGAGAGAAGGAGAGAGAGGAGACAGGGGCGGGGCGGGAGAGGTGAGAGGTGTCCTATGAGGTTATGTCTTTTCTTGAACTTGTTAATCTCTGTCTGGGAATGAAAGTGAGGAAACAAAAGCAGCACCTTCTTTTATCCTTCATACACGACAGTTGTGGTTCAAAACAGCCTCAACAAAAAGATTCCTTTTATGTAAAAAAAAAATAAAATAAAATATGCATGTGTTTCTCTTTTATTTCACAGTCTCTGATTCATCAGACCCCTCAACGTCTTTATATCCCTGAGCGCCCTCCTCTACTTCCTCTCCATTAGTGTATTAAAGGAAAAACCAGGTTGCATGTGTTTGTAGCATCATGCACCATTGTCCAATTCTCAGTGACTTCCCTGACATTAAAACAATAGTTTATCATGACTTTATCTGTACTGCTGTAAATCTGACAGGTGGTGTTTTTTCCAGCACCTTTCTCCAGCTCACTGATCCTCTCCACCAGGGCGTTCAGCGTGCTCTCCGTCTTCAGCCTGTACGCGGCTGTGGCGTTAGACAGCATGCTCTTCTCCTCCTCCAGGTTGCTGACTTTCTTCAGGAGCTGTTTCTCCAGCTCCCCGAGCCGTCGCTGCAGCAGGTCGCGGAGCTCACTGGGGAACGAAGCGCCGGACACGTTGGCCCTCATCTGCTGTTGCTAAGGAAGGATGGACAGAACAAAATAAGCAGGAAGTGCACAGAGATAATCAGGGACTATGAGCCTCCTGAGAACTGCAAGTGATACCTTACATCATTGTGATTCCTCTGTATGAGTGACTGACAGGCCTATTAATAAACTTTCAGGATTTTTCCATCAGTGCAAGTTGGAGAGAAGTAGAGTCTCTGCATTGTTGGACTACTGTATAAGCTTAAGGTCAGTTGTCTAATCCTGATAGTTGTTAAATCATCTATGGAAACTTCCCATGTTGTTCATTATATATGACATGTTATGATGATACATGAGAGGAACAAATTGGGGCTGGAAATAAACACTGAGTGACTTACATGTTGTGAGGCTGTCATTTCAAGCCTGTGAGGAAGATATTGTTTAAGCTTTTTAACACACTGTAGGTGATGGATGATCACCCTGTAATAAACGCACGTCCCTTAATGGGTCCTGTGTAATAAGAAGTGTGAGGTTGTACAATCATTCTCTTTCCCACAGATGCCTCTGTTTGATCTCCACCGTGCCCACTAAGGATTCTCAAGTGCCAGTCTACTGCTGAGCTCTGCATCTACAATGTGTCCTAATCCTATAAATCCGCACCGACAATCAAACAGTGCTTTTACGCATGGCATGGATTTGGCACAGGGAGGGTATGCTTTGCGCAATTGGTGACGCCTTACCTCCAGGTTTTCCAGTCGGTCCTTGAGCCCTTGCATGGTTTTTCCAAGACTGTCAATGGTGTCATTAGGATCTCTAGGAACATCCCCCATTGTATTTTGCTTTTCTTTCCCCCAGGAACCCCCCTTCTCGTACTTCCTATCGTCGGTGGCTGAGGCGCAGAGGGACAGCTTGGTGGTTAGCTCGTTGATGGTGCCAAGCTGTTTGGAAATCGTTTCTTTCTGCTGTAAAATTGTTTCTCGTAGCTGCATGACAGTGTTTCTGAGCTCCTCTTCTTGGCTCCCGGCGTTAAGCTCGGGTAACAACGTCACAGGGCAACTGGCATCGCCGCTGAGGGGTATCGCCCGGCAGATGTACCGCTTTCCATCGTCCGGCTGGCCGCTCGCTAGTTGACCGGAGCCCAGCGCACAAAACAACAATCCGCACAAAAGTGAAAACATACCGGCGGCGTTCACCGTCAAGGGAAAATGAAGGGAGAAGTGAAAAGATCCACACTCTAAACCCTTATCGATCTCTGACGGAACCCAATCTGAAGTTTAGCGCGTAAAAGTGAACCCTAAATAAGTCTACTCCAAAAAAGACATCACGTATATCTGTTCCTACAAAGCAGCGCCATGCCTCGCCAGCAACATCAAGGAAATTCTGAGCAGAAAATCCGATAAAGAACGAGTCGGTCACTGTAAGCCCGGTTAATGTGACTTGTGTAAACGGGACTATTCCTGGCACAGGCAGAGCGCACAGTGTGCCGCTGATCGGACAGCTCCTCTAAGGAAAGAGGATTACCAAAAAAGGTGTCTGTGGAAGCTCCTGGATTGGTTGTAGTAGGATGACGGCACGGACCCGCTGGCTCAAGACATTCGTTTATTAATTTGTTCGGGAAAAAAAGTTAATGAAGCTTTGGAGACAGTGAGGAGTTAATGACCTCTCAACAATTAAGCTGATAACTGTGGTGCCACGGGGAATGAAAAAAAAAAGTGGCATCTCAGTATCATTTCATGTCACTTTCACTTTCTCTGATTCATTTATTCCTCACTGTATATGTGAGCTATAAGTGTGAGAGAATAAATACAGATCATAATCAGTGAATTCATATTTGCTCCAATAAAATGCAGATAATATATGGACGCAAATACTTATAATACACGTACATTTTAAAAAGTATGAGGCTACTGAGATACAGATGCTTCATGCCAATCTAAGGCCAGAATTACACATTTTCCTGGCTGTCAAAAACATGACAAATCATTCTGAAAGCAGATGAGTCTCTTCAATAAACCAGGCGGTGAAGAAACAGGATGTGGTGGTAAACAATTAGCAACAGGTACCTGCCTGCCTGTGAAAGGTCAATAAAGCCTGGGGTGCAGACTGCAAGACATACCACTGTGCTTTGAACATCCGACAGCTCACACAGTCGATTTTCATAAATGACACTCAGAGATGACAAAATAGAAGCTGTTTGTGTTTGTGAACATATTTTGGCCTTTAAAACATCCATCTTCTAAAAGGAGTCAGTTGTGGGAATTTGTATTTGCTCTAAATAAATCAGATGAGGACGTGTCACCAACAAACACTGTTATTTGGGCGATTAGATGCAAAGTTATTGCTTTTTAAAAAGGCTACAAATCTTACAAGCAGTTTTTAACTAGTGTCAGTGAAGTGTCAGCATGTCAGGTTTGACCAGTTTGTACCATTTGAAAGGGAAAGCCCTTCTTTCAGCTTCTCACTGTAAATCAGAGGAGCTGTGTGTCCCACACTGTGACCATGCTGCTTTCATTCAATGAATACTCTTTTAACTAATAATTCATATGATTCATATTATTTAAAGAGAAGAAAAAACATAGTTAAATAGCTACACAAAGCTGTGTTCATTTTTTTTTTTACTGTAAACCTTACCTTAAAAAATTGAACGTCTTTTGGCCTCTGGTGAGTTTTTGAAACTGTCTGAAAGTTTAGAGTGGAAATCAGACACGGCTGTTAATGAGGAGTCGCAAGACAAAAAGGTTGGCGGTAAAAAACGGTTGTAATTATATAAAATGTGTCTTCATAGTAAATGTTATAATTGCTGGTGAATGTCCTTATATCTGCTTACATTACAATGTGTTATAAACATTAATTCAATTTCTCTATGATGCTTTTATTGTTAGATAGGGCGACTTAAAGTTCAGTGTTCCCTTAAAGCTTCACCTGAAAGTAACTGATAACTATATCTGTCTGAATCTGGCCTGGCCAGTCTTAAGCAGGTTGGCTCTACAATATTTTTGTCATGATCATAAATTCTCGGACAACCCAACTGCCACAGAACACAGGGTTTGCAAAGCCTGTGCAAACCAATTACCATCATCAGTGACAGACTCTGCCTCCCTCGGTTAAACAGAATATTTTACTCTGACGTCTCGCCTATTTGGTTACCGGGTGACAAAGACAAAAGCTACCTGCCAATCCAAGATAAACCAGCTGATTTATAAACAGCTCCTGGAAATGGGAAAAAAATCAACTTTGATTACACTAGATACAACACTGTCATTATGAAATCTAATTTTTCAATAACAACATATTGCCAAAGCTGGAGAACTGTCTGCTGTGCACTGTTTGCCTGGTCCACAGGCAACATGTCCTCTTATTATGCAGAGCTCGGGAGTGCATATGGGTAAAAAGAATGAATGCACATGGAAGCTTTAGATGCAAGAATAGATTTTCAGGGTTCATTGTTGATGATTCTGACTCAGTCTCAAGGAAAGTGCACTTCTTTTTATATGGGAAATAATGCAGGGGTGATCCAGCTTCATCACGAGGGCATCAGCAGCCAGAATAGTGCACTGAAAAAACATAAATCTAATGGACAGATGAGTGGTTTTGGAAAGCCGCAGAACCAGTGTGTCATCCACTCTCCCCTCTCAGTATAAAGCCTCTGTCAGAAAAAAAGAAGAAAAAAAAAAAAAAAACCCACTAATGAAATGAACAGGACAGTGCAATAAGCCCGAGACAAACATCTTTTAGCAGATCATTATTACTTAGGGAACAGAAAGCGTAAAGAGAATGAGAATGTCACGTTATATGTCAAATTATCTCTTACATTATATGTGACATTCACCGAAAGGAATATCTCATTCTGCAGTCTTTTGCCAGTGGGTTCACTCTATGGATGGAGGAGGTTGTGAAGGAGAGAATTGTGAATTAAAACCCATTAGCAAAGCATGTGGGCAGGAGACAGAGGCTTGATAGATTAGGCAAGATAAATAATGACCATCTTTCAACCAGACTTCATTATTTCCAAAGCTATTTAAACAAGCGTTATGGGGGGAAAAATCTCAAGTCATGTTGCCTTACACACACTCTTTCATTTATGAACAACTGACGCGTATATGGCAGCAACAAAATTTGTCTTTGAAATGATCATGAACTGTAATATACTGGGATTTTAAATGCTAACTGATTTGCTTGTTTGACTGGCCAACTCAATGTAAGAGAAAATTGAAAAAAAAGCCGTCTAGAAGGTCAATGAAAACCAGAACAACCACTGAAAAATCAAAATATTTTGGCAACTGAAAAAAAAATAAAATTATTAAAAACCCCACAATAACCCTTTCTCCAGACTCCTGGCTCACCTCTACTAAATGTTGCACATCTTTCCTCTAGCACTGTCCCAGTTTTATGAAGGTCTATTATTAAAAAAATCAACCCTGAAGATCAAGATCTCTGCCCAATTTCCGATGTTTTGTTCTCTTCAAAAAGTCTATACCGGGTATCAGATAAAAAAACAATGTTGAAGTATAATGTTTGCAATGCTTCATGCCTATGTCTATACATTTTGTTCAAAGGGATCTCATGGCCAATGATGTGCTCAAATCAAGAAATGAAATGCAGTTGGTTATTATTGACAATCTGCATGTTTTACTTTGAGCACTGAGGATTTCAGAACACGTCAATCTTACAGTCCTACAGGTCATGTTCAGTGGGCTGCCATCTTGTGGTAAAAACAAACCACACTAACTAGCGCAACAGTATGAAGACATTAATTAAAACAGTGAATAAATGAATGATTGACCTCAACTCTATTCAAGTGTTTTTCCATCTCATGGCTCATCTCTCATAATTCTTCATACTTTGTAACCATATAAATTAAAGTCACAAAGATCTTTTGAGCTACAACATTGCGAAATATCCCACTAGCCGGTGTATATTCTTCTCCAGCATGACACTTGTATGTATTTTAAGCTCTTTAATTCATAGGGAAGACCCCTCCTCTCAACCAGTTGAGCACTGACCTTCTGAAAAAGAACTGCAGAGCATCTGGTCCATAAAGGACTTTACAACTTATAAAAATTTACAACTACAACTTGATGGATTCTTGTTAAAACAATCCATGAACAACTTAATTACATTTACAACTGCAGCCTTGTTACCTGCTCTATAGATGCATGTATTAAAAGATACACATATGGTACTCTCGCAATTTCTGTACTTCCTCAGAATCAGTAGAACTACTATAAATGATGACAGGTGTAAAGATATGAATGAAACAGTTCATCTAGAAAGTATTCTGACACAAATGACCCTGAAATATGTACAGGGATGGAGCAGGCCCTGTTTTGGAGGAAGAACTAATTAAGTTTCATTTGAACAAAAGAAACTCGTCTCATTCACAAAAAAAAACATGCATTTAACATAGCGGTAGACATAATATTGTAAATTCATAGACTAGACATACATTACCATTGGCCTCAAACGGCTCCACATTTCATAGTATCAAGTTCTGGTTCAATGCCAAGTTTGAACATAAATCCATGGAACTGTCGCCAGGGAGCATGCGCGGTTCACCGCACATTTAGTTCCCCGGAGCTCGAAGACCATCGAAAACGATGGTCTTATAGCCACTGGTGTATCCTTCCGCTAGTACTAAGATAAACCGTTGGAACCAACATAACATATTTTCACGGAAATTAACATCGATTGCATCATTTTTCTGCATAAATCAATATCAGTCTAACATATTACACAGTATATATACACTGAAAGTGAAAATATGATAAACAATCCGCGGAGGAATATCACTCATCTCACAGGCTCCCGGCAGCAGCGGCACTAGCACCGCGCATACAGAGCGATAGCTTCCTGTCTGTGCTGCTCGGTAAGTGCAAACGGCTCGCTTTTTATTATAAACCTTACGAATATTACGTGTTTTCCACAGTCTCCACGGGTAGTTTTTGGAGTTTTTAATGTTGATTAAGGTGCTTGTGATCTGTTGCTTGTGTTTATATTGTTTTTAACAGAGTTTAACGCCAGGGGATGTGCGAGCGCTTTCTTTCTTTAAGGAAGTTAGCTTACTAGCTAACGGTTGCTAGTATGTTTTGCAGAATTAATATGATATATGACTTTTCTGGCTTATTGGAAGTCCGAATAAGCGCGTAAGGCCTCTTAATAACCGGTGGGCTACAATTTC